CAAAATGGTTGACAGGAAGGGACATAAGACTGAATGACCCTCAAAATGGTTGAGAGGAAAGGAAATAAGACTGAATGATCTTCAAAATGGTTGACAGGGGGGACAATAAGACTTGAATGACCCTAAAAATGGTTGACAGGAAGGGACATAAGACTGAATGATCCATAAAATGGTTACAGGAAAGGACACAAGACTGAATGATCCTCAATATGATTGACAGGAAGGGACATAAGACTGAATGACCCTCAATATGATTGACAGGAAGGGACACAAGACTGAATGATCCTCAATATGATTGACAGGAAGGGACATAAGACTGAATGATCCTAAAAAAGTTGACAAGGAGGGTCATAAGACTGACTGATCCTCAAAATGGTTGACAGGGAGAGACATAAGACAAACTGATCCCCAAAATGGTTGAAAGGAAGGGACATAAGACACTCTGATCCTCAAAATGGTTGACAGGGATGGACATAACACTAAATCTCATTGAATGATACCCAAATTGGTGGAACTATTAATACTATAATATAAATTACTTTGCTGTTAATGCATTGCAAGTTGACAATGAAAGAATATTCAAGTTTCCTATAACAAAAAGGCCTGTTGCCCTGTAATGAATATATTTAAGTTTCACCTTAATGAATATATGCATGTTCCGCTAGATGAATATACAAGTTGTATCTTCAACTTGCCCTTACCTATAATGAATATACAAGAAGCTTCTGTATGAATATGTTAGCTGCCACTTAATGCATATGCCAAGTTGCCCCTTAATAAATATGCAAGTTACCACTTAATGAAGTTGCTTCTGTCTGAATATTTTATAAGTCTTAATGAATATTCTTAATTGTCATTTAATGCAAGTAGCCCCTTAATGAATACATGTAATTGTTAGTTGCTTCTGAATAAATATTTAAGTTGTCTTTTACAGAATATGCCAAGTAACCCATTAATAAATATGCAAGAAGTCCATGCATGATTATGTAATAAAATATCTTCCATATAACATAACAAGGTATCAATAATGTAATATTCTGAAAACAAATAATAATCATTAATATTGTATTACATAGACTCTTAATCAGTACTTATATTTTACATCATATATAAAGTCATGATTGAAAATAAATCAAATCACAGACACACACATTTTTTTTCAATATTCTTAAATATCAAGTTACTATTCATACCAACACCAACAATCAATGCATTTGTATTTTAATAGAAACATCAAATTTCCCCCACACCATCAATTATCCAAGAAAGTTTAGCCATATACCGGTACATGTAATATCAGTATGAAATAAGATTTACCAGTTTTATATAATACTAAGTATAAAATTTTAATACTAGGTATCAAATTTTTAATACTAAGTATCAAAATACATTGATCAATAAAAGATATAAAACTCAGAAAATTAAAAAAAAATCCATAAATTATTAAAACATCTACACAATATCATATTGATTAGATACATAAAGAAAATCATTACATGTTAATAGAAATTATTAAAATTATTTAAAAATCAAAAGCCTGATTATACATAATACTGACAATGCGATCTACAAAAGAATTACTAAAATATTTCTAGTATTAATGCACCTTTAGAGAATTCCAAGTATGAAAATAACAGATTTTATTTTGGGAGAGCCTGGGGTGAGGTTTAAGTTATCACCATAGTAAAGGTGACAACTGTCAACCTGACCACCCATACAAGTGGAGGAAAACCCGAGCTGCTGTCCCTCTACAGACTGAGCTGGCACTGATTCCAGGCTAGAGCATGCACGTAATATGACGTGCACCAGCTTTACATTAAGTTCAAGCTAAATAATTTCTTCACATGTCTTCACATGAAAGAGAAAGAAGTTTTTAGCATTATTTAAGTAAAACCACAAAGGTAAATGGCCAGTCATTAGAAGTGTGCTACTCTAACCGCTTTACCATTAAGGCCCCTGGGGTGGGCCACAAAGGCCCCATCCCCTGGACAGGAGACACAAATAACAAATTGATCTTCGAAACATAATGAAGCATCGAAAATAGTTGTCAAAAATTCTTCATCATTACTGAAATTTTATTTTACAGAAATGTTGGTACAATTCAATGTTTCTCATGATATTTTTTATCCAAGTTAGAATTTGTGTAAAGATGTGCTTAAAAGAGTCAAGATCATGGTAATCAAGCAAAGTGAATGGAGAGCAGAAATACTGATTAATGTCAAGACTTATTAAGAAGAAACAAAGCAGAAAAAGGGTACAGTCACAAGATCTGTGATATATCAAAGACAGAACCTAGTACTTTAATTTCATATACATTTTTTATTAATATGATTTTCTTATTCATTAATGATTACATGTATTGCATAATCACATATTATTTTGAATTGTTTATACTGTATATCATTACATTGTTTATGTATTTTTATAAAGATGTATTGGTTTTTACAGAATTCATCTTTAGTCCGATTGTGTAGGAAGCTATAACCTTATAGATACACTTTCGAATCCGTTCCTGGAAGCAACCAGTACTGAAGAATGAGTGTTAAAAGTTTCTTGCTCAATGAAACAACTTGCCCCTGTACTGTGCAGTACTGTTTATTGCATATATTCCATAGTCTTGTCTTGCAATGCACTGTACAGTGCTGAAATGTCTTGTGTTTATTGCCTTGCCTTGCTTTAATTGCCTTGACCTGTGCTGTGCTGAAATGTCTTGAGTTTATTGTAATTGCACTGCCTTGCTTTGCACTGTGCTGTGCTGAAATATCTTGTATTTATTGTATTGTCTTGCTTTGTCTTGCATTGTGCTGTGCTGAAATATCTTGTATTTATTGTATTGTCTTGCTTTGTCTTGCACTGAGCTGTGCTGAAATATCTTGTATTTATTGTATTGTCTTGCTTTGTCTTGCACTGAGCTGTGCTGAAATATCTTGTATTTATTGTATTGTCTTGCTTTGTCTTGCACTGTGCTGTGCTGAAATATCTTGTTTTTATTGTATTGTCTTGCTTTGTCTTGCACTGAGCTGCCCTGAAATATCTTGTATTTATTGTATTGTCTTGCTTTGTCTTGCACTGAGCTGCCCTGAAATATCTTGTATTTATTGTATTGTCTTGCTTTGTCTTGCCTAATATAAACAGATTTACTGTTCTGAACATTGATGCCCTTCATGATCAGTCACTGTGAAGTAAATTCTGTACATTACTGATGTGTAATATATAAAAATATTGTCTAATGTACAGTACATTAAAATGAGTCAGTACAGAGAAGAGTCCAGGTAACCCAGCCAAATTCTACTACCCTTAATATACCTTTCTTAAATTGTAAATAATATTGAAAATTTATGCTTTATCAAATATATTTACATCAGATTTTTCAGATTTAATATTAAAACATGCCTTTTTAAGTTTAACCCATTATCATTTTTTTTTGGTAAATTTTTCACCATTGACATTAAAAGAACATGCCTCCAAAGTTCTTACTTTACTAAAACTACTAAATGGACCTTGAAATCTGAAGGTTACAAAATGGCCTTTTAACAATTAAATAAAACATGCTGACACTGCCTGATATATAGTACATACAATAAGTAGGCCTTACTGTGTCATTGGCACGTAACCAATTTGCTGCATTCATTCTGTCATTCCATACAGACTCAATACAAAACAGTTTGTTTTACTGTATGCTACTGTTATCCTATATTTTTACAAAATAAATCATTACATAATTTATGCCGCCTCATGAGTTAAGACTGTACTACTTCATATCTTAAAATTGAATAAAAAGACATGTTTAGTGTGAATCAACCAGGCAAGTAGATTGACAGAAAAATAGGAGGCAAGAAAATTAAAAGTAAGAGAAAAAAAACGACCAGAGTTCATACATCTGGAAAATGCAGTATAACTATATACAAGACAGGTGAAGGAAAAGTAAAAGTAATGCATAAATGAGCCGTGTCATGACAAAACCAACATAATGGGTTTGCAACCAGCATGGATCCAGACCAGCCTGCGCATCCACGCAGTCTGATCAGGATCCATGCTGTTCGTTTACAAACTCTATAACCAGTATAGAAACCGATAGCGAACAGCATGGATCCTGATCAGACTGAGCGGATGCGCAGGCTGTTCTCGATCCATGCTGGTCGCAAACCCATTATGTTGGTTTTGTCATGACACGGCTCAAATATTATCCTATTAATTGCATGACTGTGCTTCTACTATGATAGTATCAGTATACATTGTATATGGCTCTTAAATTTCTGTTCAATCTACTTTAAATCCATTAGTATGCTAGCAAATTGATGATCTTATGTTTGTTTGTTTGTTTCATTTTACGCCTTTTTCCAACAGTATTTCAGTCATATAGGCGGGTAGTTTCCTAACCATCGTTCCTGGAGAGTTACACCAGTACAAGACTACCTTCCTCCGCGCTAAGCTATGATCTTATGTAATGAGACCTTGAAATTAAGGATTCTATATATATCAATGCTCCAAATGCACAGGGACATGTAAAAGAAACCAAGCTCACCTTTGGGGTGGGTGAGGGGGATTTCTGTTTCCATGCATGAAACCTCCAAAACAATAATATAACTTTTCAGGGATAGGATAGTGGCAGGGGGGTGTCGCTCATATGGTTAACTGAAATGCGACAAAATTTACACCAAAAGAAGACACCATATGCTTATAGTGGTAAAAATGACTTGATTATCAATCACAATATTTCTGATATCAAAACCCCTAATAATGACAATGAACAGTCCCAAATTCAAAGCAAGGTTAAGTCCATTATAAAAATTTAGCATGGCCAAGATTGAAATATAAACTAATTCATAATCAAACAGGGTGAGCACTTCTTCATTACAGTTAACACAGTCTTCCACTATGGTGCAATACTGCATCACGCAAATACGAACATTTTTTTAAGTATACATATATAGCAATGTGTTTTCAAACAGTACAAAGAGTAATTAGTAAGCGAAAAGTTATTTCACATCTAATAGTACCGATATTTGACGGCTAGCTCCACCGTGTGATGTCACGGAACTCTGTAAAAATAAAACTGTTCTTGTTACACCAAAGACTGCACAGCTTAAAGAATCATAATGACACATTGAAAATTTCACAGTACACTATACATAATTTCTCTAAACATGTTATAGTATTCTATTGAATATATCCATCCTGAAATGCAGCAACTCTAATAATAACTCTGACTAAATAATAATATTTCTTCCTTACTTGGCATTAAAAATTTATTACCTCCCTTTATACTATCAAAACTCTTTGTCAGTCAATGGAATAACATTTTTTTTCAAAAAGTAGTTTAATTAACATTTGAAACTGTGTTACTGAGATCTCCGAGATTATACCCGAGTACCAAAATTATCTTAGATTGTATGATTGTCTACTCAACAGCGTAAACTCTCATTAACTACCAATAAAAGGGAGGTAATAATAGACATCCTGCTGACCAATTAATATATGATATTGTGAATATATACGGTAATATTTTGTAATAATCTCCCTTTGTATGTGGTATATGATACCGTAATGTACACAAAATTTAAAACCATAACAAAGTATCAAAAGTTTAGTAATCTGACAACCCAAGGAAACATCAGTTTTACCCAGATTATACTTAAAACATTTGAATTAACCCAAATTTATATAGCTATATAGTTAATAGCCTAATACTTTTCAAAAACTTTAGTTGCATAGTTACTAGAGAAATTTATGAAAAGATTTCATATACATACACCTTGTCCTTCATTTTTAAAACATTTTATAAAACCAAAGTTAAAACACAAGTAATGTAAGCATTTACATGTATTTCTTTTTTTAAATTGATCGAAATAACAAACAAAACTTTTTTAACTGTAACAAACTTGACAAATTAAAATAGTGTAAAGAAAAATTAAATTTCTAAACTCAAGGTACTCAACTGGTTTACCTTTTTTTTCGGCTGTAAAAACAAAACATTTTAGAAAGTACTTTTTGAGGATATATTACTTTTAAAGGTGGGCGCATATTGAAACAAAAACTGTACAGCTAAAAAAAATCTCAGATTTCAATATTGACTTTTCATGGAGTTACTTTCCTTGAATTCACCTTGTTATAAAAGGGGAACAAATATTAAATTTCACTATTTATCATCTATACAGTACATTGTATTATTATCTAATAATACTAACTTTGGCCTTGTGAAACTAGATATTGTTTTCCTTTTCTTGTTTGTTTATGTACAGGTATTTGTGCATCTAGGTAAAACTTACACAAAATAAAATATCAAGGGTGTAAATAAACAGCCGTTGAAACTTACTGAAAACAATTAAACCTTGAAAATAAGTAATTTGTAATCATATGCTATTAAAATACAGTTGCCATTTGTTAATTAATATATACAATCTCATTGTACAGAAGCAACAAAGATAAGAGTGAATGTCATTTTCAAATATTTTTTTTAGTTTTTTAGTTTACTTTATTTTCATTTGTGAATTTAAAATAATCATGTTGTTATAGAAAAGGCAATCACAGGTCACGAGGGTTGCCTGTTGATAGCCAATAAAGCTGTTGTATTTAGGGGTGATAAGACAGTTAGTTCATTACATATGTCGCAGCTACTTTATACTATGGATATTGCAGCTACTGTGTACATAGCAGGGAATACAAAAATCATTAACAGTCCAAAATGTTGTTGTTTTTTATTCAAGGGCTATAACTTAGCCAAAAATCATTCCTATATAGTTTGGATAAAATTACACCAGTAGTCCGAACAAGTTTTGTGACAGAAGGACAGGCAGACCTTCTAACGAAAAAGTTACACTTATGTGGCTTCTTCATTGTTTTCTCTATTGTTCTTTATAGCAACATAAAGGAAATTAGGCTCATAAAAGTTTTGAGAAAATACAGTAACATACTGATCCTGAAGCCACCTAAGTATCCAAATGTAAGCTAGGACAGACATATGATGGAAAAGGCAACAGAAAAAATTATTTACTGGCTATCTAACAGCCACTATAGGGGATAAGCCAACTGAAAACTTAATGTACGTATATGGGTAATCAATAAAATAAATATATACAAATACTTCTAATATACATTGTACATGTCTATATAATTGCATAATCTTACCATAGAAGAACCCTTAGAGGTCAGGGAACCTCCAGAACTGGATGACTGTGCTAACATCTGTGCCATCTGAAAATAAAAGAAACAAACAGGTCATATTAAATATATGTTGCAGTGCTATATAATTATTATTATGTCACTACAGTACTTCTTAAAGGGACTTCACTGAGGTTTTTTAACATGACATTACTGAAAATATTTCTTCCGAGACAAATGTTCCATTGTCTTGCTAGTTCAATAAATTGTGTGAAAATTTAAATTTCAGATCATTTGCTCACTCCATTTTTCTAGAAAAATTATTATCATTGTGAAGAATGACAAAAATATTAAAACACGTTGCATTGCTTTTCACTCAAATCTGGCTAAGAATTGCCCAAAAACACAAATTTCATATCATTTCTGAGTATATTTCTTTATTATCTTTTGCATATCTTTCTGTTTCAACTGACACCATTGATCTATGTTAGAAAGTCAAATTTTATGTTTTTAGGCTTTTGGCCCTTGGTGGTGTTCCTTTAATTTTCATGAAATTAGTCAGTACTGGTAGATTAACCATCAAGGTCGACACTTCGGATACTTGAGTGCTATTTCTGACTTCACTTGGTATGTCTTCTGTCCTTAAAGTTTGGAAAATTCAAAATTCTCAATGTCATTTGCAATTTGAGGTCACACAGATGTCCTTTGACCATGAACTTTGCAATAAATTTGAGCTTTCTAAAAGTTAAAAGATTTTTAATTGCCTATAATGCAAATATCATATACCCTGCACTCTCTAGACATTGAGATATAATAATTTTATGTATTTACAAGTACAGTGCAGTGGCCTTGACATTTGACCCCATAGCATTTGACCTCATGACTTTATAAAGCAAGGTTTTATAAACTGTATATATGAAATAGTTCTTTGCTTGTGTTCATCATTAATTATTAAATTGTTTTATTAATCTATACATGTACATGCATCATAAAATGTACATACAATGTATGGTGGCAGTGTCAGCAATATGGTTGAAGTGTCTGACTAGAATTTAGGGTTTATTGGCAGCATGGGTTCAAACCCTATCAGTGGAAAGCCATTGTTTCTGTCAGCAAGAAAGTGGATTACCTTATGATTGAATACAACATGTACATTTATAATCAAACTAAAAGAATTATATATATTAAAACAAAACATGTACATGATGAGAGTAATCAGCTATAGATGATTTTTAAATGAAAGTAAATTCTTTAATATTTTTAACTAAAAATGTATATATAGACAAAACAAGATTATAGATTGAGAAAACTGCACAGTGGTCTAGATTTGCACTTTCGGATAGCTCGGTGAAATTCATTGTATAAAATATGTAACTGAAAGTTACACCACATCAACTGAAAAATTGTTACAGCAAATCAATTTCAAAAAGGTCATAAAAATGTGCAGTTTTTAAATAACAGTCTGTTATTTTTGAGGGAGCCCAAACAAAGACACAATATATTTTAAACAAAATAACAGTATTTTAATAGGCGGAGATGGGAGATCTTCTTCTGCAGAGTTATCTTGTCGATGGGTAGCAATCTCCCATTTGGCACTCCATATTTGTTGTGTTGTCGCCTCAAAATGCAAAAGACAAAGACTTGATAATTGGGCAATTTAACATGTATTTGTGTCCTCGTGTCTTTGGGCGTAGAACGATAAATTTGCCAATTATCATGTGTTCGCCTTTCACATTTTGAGGAGAAGGCACGCCATAAAAAATATAGGGTCCGGCACTGATATAAAGATTTCTACCTGCTGAATTTGCTTGATCAAGTTTTTTGCTGGATTTTCATTTAAAATCTTGGAAGTCCTTTTAGAAAGGTTCAAATCATTTTCAAATTTGGAATTTAATATAATTAATATCTAATCTACATATATAACATCATTTGCATATAATGATATATACATTCATTTCATGCTAATACTATCACCTATTTATCATATATTCAAAATAAAGCAGAATACATGTATAATAATTATATATATATTAAATATTTATATTTGTATATACAAGCCCTGTCAGCTGCCTGGAAAAGTATTTGTTATATACTTTTCCAGGTACAGATAACGAGGAATATGCAAAATCCTCGGAGGATCTATAGCTAACAGGGATTTTTTCCCTTCTATAGCAGGGGCCTCTTCCCCTCCTTAAACTTAAAATTAAGTTTCCATGAAGTTTTCCTTCCCCTTTTGTATATATAAATTTACAATTTTATTTTTATTCCACACATATGAAAGTAATGTGCCTGTTCCCCTATTTGTAAAAATAAGATTTGCCTAGCACCTAAACTTCATTAGAAACATAAACAGGACAGGTTCTGTCATTTTTATTTTTTGTTATGCATTAAGAAAAAATTTATTAAACAAAGAAAAAGGAAAGACATTTTAATCTAATGAATCAGAGTAGCATAAAGGTGATAATACAACATGCGATTCAACACATACAGGTACAGAATTCATTACAGAATAAACTTAAATGACGTTTAAGTTGTCATGTATTTAGTTCATCTTTAAAACAAAGATATCAGTCACTCAAGTAGATAGATAAAAAGTAGTTCACTACTATATAGTTTAGATAAATTAATAGATAAATTTAAACTATTTCAGATATTCAAGGACAGGCCCTTATTCAGATTAAATACTACAGGTTGGTCTTTGTTGACAAACAGTGATAACCGAATATTTAATTATCTCTTAAAGTTTATGCTTAATAACTGATAATTGCAGGTGAATACTCAGCTACCAGTATGCTAAAATAGCCCACATGTACATGTATACCAGAAAGCCAGGCATTTCGGCACATCCATATATATACCAGAAAAATTAGTCAGCCCACACATCTGTGTATAAAAGAAAACTTAAGCCAGCCCACTGACATCCATGTATACAAGAAAGCCTAAGCCAGCCAACACATCCATGTATACCAGCAAGCCAGGTCAGCCCACACATCCATGTATACCAGAAAGCCGGGACAGCCCACACATCCATGTATATCAGAAAGCTGGGCAATCCAACACATCCATGTATACTAGAAAGGCAGGCAAGCCCACACATCCATGTATACTAGAAAGCTGGCAAGCCCACACATCCATGTATACTAGAAAGGCAGGCAAGCCCACACTTCCATGTATACCAGAAAGCTGGCAAGCCCACACATCCATGTATACCAGAAAGCTGGCAAGCCCACACATCCATGTATACCAGAAAGCTGGCAAGCCCACACATCCATGTATACCAGAAAGCTGGCAAGCCCACACATCCATGTATACAAGAAAGCTGGCAATCCAACACATCCATGTTTACCAGAAAGGCAGGCAAGCCCACACATCCATGTATACTAGAAAGGCAGGCAAGCCCACACATCCATGTATACTAGAAAGCCAGGCAAGCCCACACATCAATGTATACTAGAAAGGCAGGCAAGCCCACACTTCCATGTATACTAGAAAGACAGGCAAGCCCACACATCCATGTATACCAGAAAGCCAGACAATCCAACACATCCATGTATACCAGAAAGCCAGGCAAGCAAACACATTCATGCATACCAGCAAGCTGGGCCAGCACACAGCCAAATAAAGGCTGTTTCCCCTAGCCCTTAAATCCCCTAAATTGCAAATATTTTCCCCTAAAAAACCTTGTGCTCTTCCTTACAAGAATGAGGACTTAACAGCATCTGCTAGAAGACAGAAAGCTGTCCTTATAGCCTCTGCTATGTACCATTCATGTTAAATTGCATTGACAATGAAAATTTTACAAAATGTGTGGGTAAATTTCATTTTTAGTTGTTGAGATTTAATTTCAGGTTTTCCCCCTTTTTTGATTTATCACGCTATATTTCCCCTTCAGAAAGCCACAGGTTGTTTTGAAAATTGGGGAGAAAATCACAGATAAAGGCAAACTTGACCACTCTAGAAATTAGCATGTGCTACAGTGGGTTAAAAAAGACACACCACACTTGAGTGCTGGATTGAGTGTTAGTTCAAATGTACCTTAAACTCTCTGAACATGTCATAAATATTCTAAGAGAAATTCTGCAGCCTGCCAATATTTGGAGCTAAAAAATTGTTAAATATATACGAGCCGCGTCACAACAAAACCAACATAATGGGTTTGCGACCAGCATGGATCCAGACCAGCCTTAGGATACTGTTGTACCATTGAAGTGTTTGTAAAAAAACTGATAATTTCTTTGTAAAGTCTATTGTCTCTTTGAATTCCCATATAAAAATTTATTGTTTTCACACCTGTTTTAACACCTGTATACAGTATACTGTACAATTGACACTTTTAAAAATTTCTGTTGCAGAGAGTTCATTATGAAACCTACACCAAGAAGACTGAGGACCATCCCTGCATCATTGGCCCCTGTAGAGCGTTTGTTTAGTGTTGCGGGTAAAATTTTCCGTCCTGATAGATGCAGTCTGACTGATAGACGGTTTCATGAACTTATGATGCTAAAGTGCAATGCTAAAATATGATAAAGTGATGTGACAGTAACTAAAAGTGTGTTAAAATGATGACTGTTGATGAGCTGGAAATCCTTTGTGTATATAATGTATATAATGTATATATTAGATAGCATTAAGAAACTTTTGTTTATAGTTATACATGGAATGTAATCAATTATCAATCAATTACTTTCTCAAAGTAATTGTAATTTAATTGATTACAGAGGCAAGTCTGAGTAATCAATTGTAATCAATTACAATAAAATCTGAAAGTAATTGTAATTAAATCAATTACTGATCAATGTAATCATCCCCAGGTCTGCCAGCCTACGCAGACTGCGTAGATGCGCAGGCTGGTCTGGATCCATGCTGGTGGCAAACCCATTGTTGGTTTTGTCGTGACGCGGCTCATATGTTTGGTATTATATTGAAAATGGTACATAGTTTTTAATGAAAAAAATTGGATACACAAATAAAAACAAATTCTCATTCAGTTTAAATACTAATTTTCTTCATTTTTTAACATTTATAAATTTTAATCATAATACCATGCTGTTTTGTTTCTTCCGCAGTAGTTTAAACAAGAACTATCACTAAATGTGATTAATACCCCCACAAGTCTGCTTCGGAAATGAGGATGTTACTAGTAACAGAATACCTTGTAAAAGAATTGAAACATAGAGTTATGGTTGTGGGCAATTAAAGATAATTGTGGTTCATGTATGTTGCATTTCCTTTCAATGTGGTTGGCCATTGATGAAGTTTAATTGAATTACTCTGTAATAAGTCCAGAAAGACAAAGAAAAAGAACAAAGGGCAATAACTCTATAAATACTGAAGATAGAGTTATAGTTCTTGTGCACTGCACTTCCTCTTATTGTGCTTGACCATTGTATGAAGTTGTTTTGGATTCCAACCAGTACGTTTTAAGTTATGCTCCTGACAAGGAAAAGTATCAAAGGGCAGTAACTCTGTATTTTGTCAAAATGGAGTTATGGCTCTTGTGCACTGCACTTCCTTTTAATGTCCTTGACAACTGTATGAAGTTGTACTGAATTCCAAACAGTAGTTTTCAAGTTATGCTCTGGACAAGGAAAAGTAACAAAGGGCAATAACTCTGTAATTAGTCAAGATGAAGTTATGGTTCTTGTGCACTGCACTTCCCCTTATTGTGCTTGACCTTTGAATGAAGTTGTTTTGAATTCCAAACTGAAGTTTTCAAGTCATGCTCTGGACAAGGAAAAGTAACAAAGGGCAGTAACTCTGTAATTAGTCAAGATGGAGTTATGGTTCTTATGCACTGCACTTCCTCTCAATGTGCTTGACCATTGTATGAAGTTATAATGAATTCCAACAATAAGTTTTCCAGTTATGGTCCGGACAAAAGAAAGCAATGGAAAAGTAACAAAGGGCAATAACTCTGTAATTAGTCAAAATGGAGTTATGGTTCTTGTGCACTGCACTTCCCCTTATTGTGCTTGACCATTGTATGAAGTTGTTTTGAATTCCAACCAGCAGTTTTAAAGTCATGCTCTGGACAAGGAAAAGAAACAAAGGGCAGTAACTCTGTAATAAGTCAAAATGGAGTTATGGTTCTTGTGCACTGCACTTCCTCTCAATGTGCTGGACCATTGTATGAAGTTATAATGAATTCCAACAATTAGTCTTCAAGTTATGGTCCGGACAAAAGAAAGCAATGGAAAAGTAATAAAGGGCAATAACTCTGTAATTACTTTAGATAGAGTTATGGTTCTTATGCACTGCACTTCCTCTCAATGTGCTTGACCATTGTATGTAGTTATATTGAATTCCAACTATTAGTCTTCAAGTTATGGTCCGGACAAAAAAAAAGAAGGCAATGGAAAAGCAACAAAGGGCAATAACTCTGTAATTACTTTAGATAGAGTTATGGTTCTTGTGCACTGCACTTCCCCTTATTGTGTTTGACAATTGTATGAAGTTGTTTTGAATTCCAACCAATAGTTTTCAAGTTATGCCACGGACAAGGAAAAGTAACAAAGGGCAAAAACTCTGTAATTAGTCAAGATAGAGTTATGTTTCTTTCGCACTGCACTTCCTCTCAATGTGCTTGACCATTGTATGTAGTTATATTGAATTCCAACCATTAGTCTTCAAGTTATGCTCCGGACAAGGAAAATGCAACGGACAAAAAAAAAAGCAATGGAAAAGCAACAAAGGGCAATAACTCTGTAATTACTTTAGATAGAGTTATGGTTCTTGTGCACTGCACTTCCCCTTATTGTGTTTGACAATTGTATGAAGTTGTTTTGAATTCCAACCAGTAGTTTTCAAGTTATGCCCCGGACAAGGAAAAGTAACAAAGGGCATTAACTCTGTAATTAGTCATGATAGAGTTATGGTTCTTGTGCACTGCACTTCCTCTCAATGTGCTTGACCATTGTATGTAGTTATATTGAATTCCAACCATTAGTTTTCAAGTTATGCTCCGGACAAGGAAAATGCAACGGACGTCTGGACCGACCGACCGACCAACCGCCCGACCGACCGACCGACCACCGGGTGACTCCTATATACCCCCCCAAACTTCGTTTTTGGGGGTATAAAAATTTCTTTTTAGTTTAATATTGACAACAGGTACAAAGTCTGAGTAATAATTGAACTCTGTTATAATCAATTTTTTTATTCTTAAATCATCTTCTTCCCATTTACTTAACTCAATACACAAATGAGCCGTGTCATGACAAAACAAACATAATGTGTTTGCGACCAGCATGGATCCAGACCAGCCTGCGCAGCCACGCAGTCTGATCAGGATCCATGCTGTTCGCTATCAATTTCTCTATTTGTAATAGGGTTGGTAAGCTAACAGCATGGATCCTGATCAGACTGCGGGGATGCACAGGCTGGTCTGGATCCATGCTGGTCGCAAACCCATTATCTTGGTTTTGTCGTGACACGGCTCAAATGTAAATACAAATTTGTAATCAAGTTCCTATAACTTGTATAGATTATTTCTTTTAAAATAAATCCAATATCGTAACAAACAGTGATAATTATCATCATATTACAAAATATATTGGATGCAGAATTCAAGAGCTTATTATTATATAAGTTTCATAGCTAGACAAATCAATCTTGATATGTTGTTGGGTTTTTTTTTTCAGTCAGAATTCCTACAACAATGCCAGCAGATATCAGATTTTTCATAAATTAGAAAAACAGTTATTTTTATTTTTACACCTGATCATGTGTGCATTATTATGTTAAAACAGTCATCAAATTAAGCACTGGCCCAGTGGTCCATCACCATGGCCAGTGAAAATTAGTTTGGGCCACTCCGCCAGTGTAAATTTTAAGAAAATTTAGTTAAATATATAGAAGAATGAATTTAAAATCTTAAATTCAATGACTGTTAAAACTGCAATAATGTTATGATTTCTCTTTTATATCATTAAAGTATTTAGTAATGACCAAATTTTTGAAAATGTGTGACTTTATTTTAGGAACTAGTATATCTGATTTACTTGTGCAAAAATACTTTTTAAAAGTCAGATTTTATCTACTGAAACAAAACCAGTGCCAGGACCGCATAAACCCTAATTCATTTAAGGAAAGAGCTCCTTCCCCTTTTAGCGCTTGTTATGTATTCTTCTAATCTATCTTATATGATGTTTAGTCCAAGTATTTAAATGCATACCACAGATTTGAAGCTATTTTTTGCATTGGTCAAATATGTTATTAACTTATTTCCCATTATCCAACAAAATTAACACTGTCAAAAATGAAAATTCCAAGTGGCTTTCAATGAATGGCTGGTATGATGTTATATCAGCGTTTTTTTTCTCTACTTTGGTGCCGGTACCAGACTGATTGGGAAAAAAATGCGTTATTTTGACTAAAATTGGGAATTTTTTTAATGCATTTTTTCAGCTACAAATGAGATTAGACATCATAAATAAAGATAGCTAACAGCTTCTACTGTCAAAATAGAACTATTGAGTGGTGATTTATATGAATATGTTGGATTTAAATGATTTTAGAAAAATCACTTGGCCTTGTAGGGATTTTGAACAGCCATTTTGGGAATTTAACAGTGGAAATTGGGAATTTTAATGTCTATTTTCTATTGGGAATGGTACCGTTTTAGGGTAGTAGATATATAAAGAAAAAAAAACACTGTATATATCAAGGAAAATAGAGAAAAGACTAAATTTTATAACATTTAATAAAAATAGATCTTCTAGATCTAGTATCACTGTATCAAATAATATAACTTGAATAACATTATCATGTAAGGAAATACATTTATCATAGTATTAAATTCATTAACAAACATAATGTTAACCCACTTAATTAAAGAAAAGTATAAGTAGAAAAAAATACAAATACTTAAATCAATAAATTGAATTATAATTTGGTGCGTTTATTAGTGTAAGCATGCCATTTTACTATTAGCATGACGGCCATGCATGCATGCAGCATGGTAAAAAGAAAGACGAATATCTGAAAGAAAATAATTGCAAATAATGACCTCATTTAATACATGTGTATATATTTATCATAGAATGATTTTTTCATTGAATTGTTCTTTCATACATTTCTTGTCTAAAATGATATTTAATAATAATTATGCAGAAATTATATTGAATAAATGTGGGTGGGGTAATTTTATTTTCATTCATGTCTAAGACTCAAAAAAAGAGTACAGAGATTTTAATACACGAAAATATGAGAGAGATTACAAACCTTGAATGGAATGCTTTAAACGCTGATGATATTCAACGCCTTTAATCCGCTAAATAACGCGCTATGTCTGAAAATTGCAAGACGCGAAATCCGACCTCCAATATTCCAAGCAACTTGAGGACAAATATCACTTATGCTGGTTCCGTGGCCCGTGTTATACGCTCTACTGGTCGATATGGCACTGCGACGGCCCGCTGTGCGCATAAACAAAAGGTAAACAAACATTCAAGAAAAGAAAACTCTCGCGGTCAAGGACGAAAGTCGATTTTGTTGCGTATGGTTTGTCCCCCTTGTAAAATAAAATATTTTTCGCGCCTAAATGTCACATAGTCCCGTGCATTGGCCTCATTTTATCGTTTCGTTCATTTTAAAAATATCAAACCTTCTTTTCTGGATTCTCTGCTAGCTTGTCTGCATCATTGCAACAAGAAAACATTCCACATGGAGAATACCAAGGTTTAGCCCAATTTCCGTTTGGCAGAAGTTTCGAATAATTCTTAGACAAAGTTCGAAATAATATTGACAAACTCATTAAAAGTTGCCAAAAACATGACAGTCGCCATTTCTTTAAAGAATGCAACGTCACGTGACGTTATACTTTGAAAATGACGTCACATATTTTTTTATGATTGATTGCGGCACGGATTTATAATATATATCCGTGATTGCGGTTACATGTATCGCTTGATTGATTGAAGCTATTCTTATATAAGGTCAAATTAACAATATATGATGTCAACGCGTCTTTATATGGTGTCAGTCTGTTTTTATATGATGTGAAGTTATGAATATATTATGTGGAATAAGTCTTATATAGAGTTAACATTATATGATGTCAATCTATCAATATACGATGTGTATTTTTCAGTATATCATGTGAAAATATTTTTATATAGAGTCAACTTAACAATATATGATGTCAATGTTTCCTTATATGATGTCAGTCTTTCATTATATGATGTGCATTTACGAATATATTATGTGGAACCATCTTTATATAGAGTCATAATAACAGTATATTATCTCAATGTGTCCTTATATGATGTAAATCTTTCATTATACGATGTGCATTAATGAATATAAATTATTATGTGGAACCATCGTTATATAGAGTCATAATAACAGTATATGATGTAGAATTGTCTTTATATAGAGTCAACTTAACAATATATGATGTAAATGTGTCCTTATATGATGTCAGTCTCTCATTATATGATGTGCATAAATGAATGTATTATGTGGAACCATCTTTATATAGAGTCAAGTTAACATTATATGATGATGTCAACACGTCTTTATATGATGCCAGTCTTTTATTATACGATGTGCATTAATAAATATATTATGTGGAACCGTCTTTATATAGAATCAACTTAACAATATATGATGTGTATGTGTCCTTATATGATGTCAGTCTTTTATTATATGATGTGCAATTACGAATATATTATGTGGAACCATTTTTATATAGAGTCAAATCAACACTATATTATGTAGAATTGTCTTTATATAGAGTCAGCTTAACAATATATGATAAATTTACTTTGAGTTTTCCCGCTGTTGCCACGAACGGTGCATCTCGGTAAATTTAACCCCATCAGTATAATGACAGAAGCACACGATATTATTTATGTTTGCACTTCATATAAAGCAGCGGTCGTATAACAATAGATGCACATCGTATAATGAAATATTGACATAATATATTGATAAATTGACTGTATATAATGATGCAACCACATAATGTATTCTAAAATGCACATCGTATAATGATTGGGCGACATCATATAAAGACACATTGACATCATATATTGTTCAGTTGAAATCATATAAGGATGCATCTACATAATATATTCATGAGTGCACATTGTATAAAGAAAGAGTGACACAACAGCGTTCATTTTTACAATCATAAGACAGTCAAGGCTTTCCATATTCGTCGGTAAACTTTTGTATAAATACCAACGAAACTCTCGACAAAAATGGTAATTTTCATCTTTAAAAAGAGAGTTTGAGGTGCTAGATGAAAATTTGATGATTAAGCTTGCCTTACATATTGTATTATGTGTCAGGAAAAAACTTTATAGTCCATGTATTTTTGAGTAAAATTTTCAAATTATTTGCTTATTCGTATATATTGACCTGTTCTTTTGTGATATCTTCTCCCTTGTCATGCTTTATTACCTAAGTTAATATGTTACTGTTTTCATTGTTTAAGGGGACTGATCTTTAGTTGTTTTTTATAATAAATAACGTTTACTAACGCAGTAAGGGCTATTTATGTATATTTTAACCACTTTTTGGTAATAAACATGGGTTATAAGTGTCATAGTTAATGTGTTTATTGCTTCCATTTGGTAACTTCACAATATTATACATTCAAATACATTTTCAAAATTTTCATGAAAATTAGCATGAGTCTGGAGGCGTGCTGCTTTAAATGTATTTCTTTTGTCTTATTTTTAATTCCTTCTAAAACCAAGTTTTAAACATCAATAGCCAGATTGTTTACAAGTAGCTTACAGCCCTTTAATGTACATGCATTTGAAACAGTCTGACAAACAACCATTTTGATTTTCGTTATCAAATTATTTCAACAAAATATCAATTCTATTATAGTTGCCCAAATTGTACATCTGTTTTATCTTATCTTATCTGTTTTGTCTGTACATGTATATCAAATATAAGTTTACGTTTCAAATAATTCATGTCAAAAGACGCATGTATAAATGCTTTTCAATTCGTTCTACATTAAATAGTCTTACAATACCCCCTGTCTAAAAGTTACAGGCTAAAGTATAGGTAACTTCACCACCGCGGGAACCTGTTCTTCGACATGCTTCAGTCATAAGTACAATTGCACATGATTACAAATAGATCTGTGATTTAACAATTATTTCAAGATGTCCCATTATTAACAGTTCGATACAAATCATTCTAGACAAAAGGGTCATGTGGCATAAACTGTTATGCGTATACCATGGAGACCGCGTCCCTGTAATAGGCTTTGTAAGAACAATATATAACATAGATGTGCCAAGACATTCTTTAAAAGTGGATGTTAAAATGGGACCAATTTTGTTTTGCGTTTTCTTTATACCAATACTGTTTACAGGTATAATATTTTATTATATGCATATCCTTTTTTTCTGTAAACAATTTTTAAGCTTGTAATTTCTCCCGTTGGTGTGTTTAGACTGGAATTGTAATAAAATCAATATTTCACTATAACGTTACACAATATTTTATCCCATAGACTTTATTTTACATGTAAAAGTTAAGAAAATTTCTTTTTCGAAAAATATTTGTTTTCGTGTTGTTTAGAAAATTAAGTTTGGTTGTATACAAGTAGAGTATATTATCCCAGTGAAATATTAAATTAATTTGTAAGTTCAGAACTTAATTAATTGATAAAGTTAAATAAAATTACATGTACAATGTATATTATATTTATGACATTTCATTTTACACAAAACAATTTCCCCCATAGACGCGATAAATTAACGTTGCACCATCACTGCGGTATACCGTACCCCGGATATTGCTCGATATTATGAGGACTTTCATCCCATTTCGCGACTTTGAACGAGGAAAGAAGGTATGTTTAGTGACGATATTTAGTCATTTTGAATTGGTTATATATAAATTTTGTAGAAAAACAAATACTTCGATAATTTCTCTAGTTACTGAAACCCCAAAAATGTTCAGAAATAGCTTTGAAATGTAATTAGGAGGTAAAATTCGTCTCTTTGCTCACGTGATAAATGAGCTCGGATCAGTCAAATTTGATGTTTTTGTGCATATACATCCTTAAAAGAAAAACTTGAATCGAGTAAAATGTGATAACGATGATAATGTTTATGTTGTATATGTTCAATCAACAATAGAACCTCAGATGACAGTGCATTTTGAGAATAAATACACATGTCAGTGTACCGAGTATTGCTTTGGAGTTGCCCGCCGGTGTCACGAGTATTGCTTTTTAGTGTAACGAGTATTGGTTATCAATAAAGAGTAAATGCAAGTAGTAAACACAAAGTATTTACCACATTTAATTTTAAATATTTCTTACTGTGTATACTTATTTACACTATATGTGCAGAATATGCAGAATTCGGAGGTACTTTACTGGAAACATCTGCGAATAATCCAGATTTGCATTCCTGCTCGTGAACAATCTCAGTTTTCTGTGTTTAAAATGTTCTCGTTGCTATCGAAGGATCAACCTTTCCAGAAATTTGTTAATAATTATTGCATATCTTACTTTAAATAGTAAAAAAATGCATCCAAAGTGCGTCAAATTAATACTGCCTCAAGATTGTCAATATTAGACGGTATTAAGCAAGTGTGCCACCGACTTCCTACTATGCCAAAAATCCATATAAAAGTAACTTTCGGCATTTTGCCCCTGCACTCTAGCAACGGCAGACCGTCTGCACGTGAAATTTTGTTACGCCTTAGCAATGAGTTACCGTATGACTGCCGAGCGGGTACAGCTCAAAAAACCGAGTAATGGATTTTGATAAGATTATGATAAGGGCAGCAGATGCAATAAAAAAGGTTATGTTCTTTATAACCTTTTACCTCATTAAGGCGTGTTTTGAAGGCTTTACACCCCACCCCTTTTGAGGCCTCAAATAGTGTAAAATATGCGCTATTTAGGCCCCAAACACTGTTTTTTTCGTTTGAGAAATGTTGTTTAAAAGAGTGTTCACTTTTTCGGCGCCACCCCATTAAAAAGGTACATCAAGGGGGTTATACAGGGGGGATGTGCCCCCTTCTTGTTTGGGGGTTTAAAGTGGGGCAGTAGCCCCTCAAATCGTCGAGAAGACTTGGGACTTGTGGGGGGCTAAATGGCCTCAGGTCGATTTTAAAGGTACCGTATAATCAACGCCGAAAACCTTAGACTTTATCTCAATCAATTGAGAAAGTTGGTGCACATTGAAAATCAGTTTTGATAGGAAAAAACAACGCAAAATAGAGATTTTGGCAATTTTGAGACGCCCCCCCCCCCTCGTTGCCATGGTAACTGGAAATTTAAAATTGAGCATGCTATTCCACAGGCTATCTAGCTTACATTTGTGCCCAGTTTGATCAGTATTAAAGCATTTTTAATAGTTTTATAGCAGTTTGAACTTGTAACAAGAGGCTTAATTATAATTCAATGAAAACAGCCATTTTTCGCATTATGCTCATGTAGTAAAAGGTAAAGACGATACCGGCATGCTTGGACGGCATAAGCCCTCGGGCCAATAGTTTATGAAGTGCGTCGATATGTTTCTTAAGGCAAACTTGCCCTGTAAAAACCTATTATTAATGTCATCTAAATATGTTTTTTTTATTTCTTGTCCTTTTCAGAGATGCATGTGTCTCCTTGATCAAAGTTTCTTGGGACATGTATTTAAAGTTTTTTTATCGTCAATTTTGATGGTTCTACCCTGCTTCCGACCCTGCACACACTTTATTTCATCCATAGTGTGATTTTCAAATCAAATGGGAAATTAAATCTCTGTATTTGCCCGTAGGAAAAGAACAGTACTTAATAACACTGAGAATGCATTGTTGAATCTGAAATATTTGAATAAATATCATATAAACAGTACATTATCAGAAAAATGAAATTGAATCGATAAACAGACGTGAAAATTAGACAAAAATATAGATTTTCCATACTAATGTGCTCATTCTGTTTTGCAATACTCTGTACACTAAAGTTGGGCTATTTTGCAATACTCTGTACACTTAAAATCAATACTCGGTACACTTTCTTATATCTTTTTTGGCCTGTATCTTTTTGTACTTTCACACTTTTTGCCTGAAATTTGGACAAGGCATACTTGGATTGAGAATAAAAAAATTGCTCGATTCATTTTTTTTTATATTGGTAATGTAATAATGATTCTACAGTATCGCGGTCAGTATTTTCTAGTGAGCAGCGGATCGTTTAGGGGTAGTTTTATCAATTTTACAAATACCTGTAATACTTTTACGTCTTTTAGAGCTACAACAATACCTCTAGATATATAAAACCCGTTGAGATAAATAAAATAGCCATTAGTTTGGAAAATATCGTCGCTGAACTTACCTTCGTTCCCCGTTCAAAGTCGCGAAATGGGAAGAAAGTCCTCATAATATCGAACAATATCCGGGGTACGGTATACCGCAGTGACCATGTCGTTTTTACGGAGTCGGAAAGCCGGCACGGGCATGCGATACGCACTAAGGTAATATCATGCAAAACGAATTGCAATATAGTTTACCAATAACTAATCATATTGCCGACACAGTTCCGACTTATTGCTGATGAGGGCTTTAAAAATAAGCGACAAAAGTTTATAAAATATGCTGTTAGACAAACAATTCACAAATTAAAATATGCCAACTTTTTGTCTATTCCAATTTCCTACCATGCATAAGTGCATGTTTTCCGGTTACAGTATAGAATGTTCAAGTTGGAGGAGATGGGGGACTAATATTTCATTATATAATTTTCAAGATGGTGGGAGATTTAAATTTTCAGTATATAATTTTTAAGATGGAGGAGTAAATTTTCTGTCACTTCAGTAAAGACATCGAGCACAAAAATTTGTCTACATACACTTACCAGAAACTGTTTATCTAGGAGCAAAAAATTTTCTTGGACATGCTGAATAGTTTTATTTAATAATAAAACAAGAAAAGCATTGATGCAAAGCATCAAAGGGCGTCCAAGCAAGAAATGCAGCAAGTGAAGATGAACTAGTAGACATCTGATGACCAGATATTCTTATAAACTTTTCAATGGTTAATTGGTTTTAACAAGTATTGTATATCATTGAATGAATGGGCGGACGAAAGACATTGTACATCATAAACTTTGGTAGGCATGCTAGAGATTTGAATATTAATTTTTTTTCACATGAACTTTGATTCCATCAATGTTAACGATAATATCCAAAGGTCTATAATATCAAAAAGTATAAGTTTATTTATACTATATAGGGATATTTTTGGATATTATCATTAATACTGGTTATTTGACAGAATTTCAAGTTCATGTTTTATTTTCTTTGGAACATACAACATAATAGTCAAAATGAACATAGTCTGTTTATTGCTTTATTTGGGAGGTCAATCTCCAAGTCTGACCCATCACTGTGTTTACATGCCTATCAATAAACCCATAACAACTCATGTTAATACTGCAGACGAAGAATGATAACACTATGACGAAACAATTCGTAAAAATTGTCCACTTAAAGATTGCGATTAATTGTTTTAATATGTTTGCATTTCATTTCCTGCAAAATTCTCCAGTTCGTTGCGACATGAATGACCGTTTCGGTAAACTAAAAATACTTCTATAAATAGATTTTCGGACTTTCACAATGTTCAGGTCATCATTCTATTTATTGGTAAAGCAATAACACACATAATAACCAACTGTGTACTACAAAATGATTAATAAAAATACCGAATAGCGCGATTAATTGACGGATAAGATAATTTCATTTGAATATGTTTACATTGCGAAATTATCCAGTTCGCTATTCATTTTACATATCGCGACATTTCATTTTTGATAATTTAACACTCATACCAATCGGAACTTTCAGCTATTATGGCCGACGAAAAGGCTCGAGAACATGTTCAGGTCGTCATTCTATTTATTAGTAAAGCAATAACACACATAATAACCCACTGTGTACTACAAAATTATTAATAAAAATACTGAAGAGCGCGATTCATTGACGGATAAGATAATTTCTCTTGAATATGTTTACATTGCGAAATTATCCAGTTCGCTATTCATTTACATATCGCGACATTTCATTTTTGATAATCAAACACTCATATACCATTCGGAATTTTCGGCTATCATGGCCGACGAACAGGCTCGAGAAGTTGCAATTGTCCTTTCTCATTCCTTAAGGGGCGTCGCGCTTCGGCGCGGACACCGATAATAAATAATCAGTAGCCGATTATAATGTTCTTCATATATCTGGTTATTTTTGTCGCTATAAACTTGATATTATCTGTTTAATGCCAATACAATAAAATCTTGTGGATGGTACAACACTACAGTGACATTTTATATGCTTCTAAAACGATTTTCAAACATACAAGGATATGTTAAATATGTACTGCAAATGTTTATAGGCATTGTATATAATCATTCATTTCTTATTGAAAAAAAATGGCTTAGACCTTACAGAAAATAATTGTCTCATTACTTCCCTTTATTTACATTAAAATGTAAATTTCAAAATATTTTTAAAAAACCAATTTTTTTCGACCCCTTTACCTATTGAAAAATTTTTCCCCAATCAAATATTTTTATGAAAAAAACCCCATAAAAAATGATTTTCATGATTTTTAAATTTCATGAGGGCCCAATTTTAATTTTAAATATAGGGAAATTTGTTTTTTTTTGACTTAGGGAACACCCCTTTAAAAATTGTTGGGGGTTTCTAGAAAAAATATAAAATTTGTAAAGGGCTTGTCAGAGGAAACATAGCAACGGGTTGGGTTTGGGCTCGACCCGGGTTTAAAAAGGGAAAAATACTTTATAAAAACCCAGCAAAAAACCCAACGCCAGGAAAAAACAGGGGACTACTTTGGAAACAGTAATAAATCATGCTGGAAGCAAAATAACAAATTACAAACATGGCAATAATATAAACCTTGTATAAACATGTATAATAATATAAACTTTGCAACTGTAGTATTGTATTATTTAAACTACAGTTGGCACGACATGTATAAGCAGAAATTGCATTCAAAAAGAGCAAACAACACAAAAAAATAATGCCCATGCGCCATAAGAAGTATTTGCGTTGTTAGACGATGAAAGTTGTTCCAAACGAAAAGGGGCAATGTTTCAGATCAATCGGAACACCTCCGGCGACTTCAAGAATTCGCTCCCCGAACTTGACGGAGATTGCCGAGTTGTTACGATTGTGTTTCAGAACTCAGTGTGCTCACAAGAGTAAAAATATTCCACAGACGCTTGGGAGTCAGATCCCTCCGTCCCCCCACCCCAACGTGATGACACACCCCTGTAAACAATCTTTCAAAAATATTTTAATATTTAAACACGAATGGGACATCTGTTACAACGATAAAACTGGTCTTCAAACAATTTTTACATATCTGAAAAAAAAACTGAGACTTGAGGGTTTATTTCAAATATGTAAAAATTGTATGAAAAACAGTTTCATCACATTTTTCCCACAGCCCTTTTTTTAAACCTTTTATTTTAAAATTTTTTTTTTGTAAAATTGAAAAGTTAAAAAAAGGAAGCCAAAAGTTATAAATATTTATCTTTCCCTAAAAAATCAAAAAAACCCCCGGTAAAACCCGGGAAATATTGTTTTTGACGACGACAGGGTTTGCGGGAAAATTAAAAAATTTGGGAACCCTCGCACGAAAAAACCAACACAAGGGTTTGCGACCGGGATGACCAAATTCAGTCTAAAATCGGGGCCCTTTGCTGTTCGCTTCATTTTTTCCCTATTTGAATAGAGTTTGGAAAAGCAAAACAGCAGGGAACCTATCAACTGCGGGGATGCGCAGGCTTGTCTGGATCCATGCTTGGTCGCAAACACATTACGTTGTTTTGTCTTGACGCGGGGCTCATTTCTATTATATACTCGAAATTATTTAACAATAATTGAACACCAATGTGTGTATTTGAGGTTATTTGTTCTCGTTCACTGGTTTCCAATATGGGCGAGTCCCCCAGAAATGTATGTGCACTCGATTTAAAATTTCATCCGAAAGACTGATTAGTAATTTTAATTGGCCAGTCGGGAATCGAATCCACAGTGCCGAAATTACAAGTCCAGCGCTCTGAACGATCGAGCTCTGCAGGCTGGCATGAACACTTGTGTTACATGTATATATCATTTTTTCATTAATTAAGTATGCCCCCGCAACACTATTTTAATAAGACCCGTCCCAAACATAGATATTGTAATTCTAGAAATTAAATTTGATTTAAAACTTATTATTTACCATTTTATTTTAGTCCTGATTCAGTGTTGACGGTTGGTGCCATCGTCGGAATAGTAATAGGTAGTATTGTCTTCATAACATGCTGTGTCGGAGGTATAATAGTCTGTGTCAAAATGGTGAACAGACCGTCAAGAAACGTAGCTCCGGTGCCAGTGCAACACACAGGTTCGTACTTTCAGTGGAATAAAAATTCTAGCTTTAATAGTTCATTAGTGCTTCGAATTCTTTCTCTTGTGCTCATTAAATGGTCACGTGTCACCACCATTCTGGTGAAAATTGTTCCATACGAAAAGAGGCAATGTTTCGCCTCTAAGTTTGCTCACTATAATAAAGAAATGTTTCCAACATGTTACCATTATCTCAGATTTCTGTCATGCTACTATTTGCGTCAATTGTTTCCATTATCGAGCTTCTATTTACGTCATCTGTTACCATTATCTCAGCCTCCTGTCATGCTAATATTTATGTCATCTGTTACCATTATATCAGATTTCTGTCATGCTACAATTTCCGTCAATTGTTACCATTACCTCAGCTTCCTGCCGTGCTATTTTTTACGTCATCTGTTACGTTTATCTCAGATTCCTGTCATGCTACTATTCTCATCATCTGTAACCATTAGCAAGCTACAATTTACGTCACCTATCACCATTATCTCAGATTCCTGTTATGCGTCTATTTACGTCACCTGTTACCATTATCTCAGATTCCTGTTATGCGTCTATTTACGTCACCTGTTACCATTATCTCAGATTCCTGTTATGCGTCTATTTACGTCACCTGTTACCATTATCTCAGATTCCTGTTATGCGTCTATTTACGTCATCTGTTACCATTATCTCAGATTCCTGTAATGCGTCTATTTACGTCACCTGTTACCATTATCTCAGATTCCTGTTATGCGTCTATTTACGTCACCTGTCACCATTATCTCAGATTCCTGTTATGCGTCTATTTACGTCACCTGTTACCATTATCTCAGATTCCTGTTATGCGTCTATTTACGTCACCTGTTACCATTATCTCAGATTCCTGTTATGTGTCTATTTACGTCACCTGTTACCATTATCTCAGATTCCTGTTATGCGTCTATTTACGTCATCTGTTACCATTATCTCAGATTCCTGTTATGCGTCTATTTACGTCATCTGTAAGCAATAACTCAGATTCCTGTCATTCTGCTATATACGACATATGTAACCATTATCTCAGATTCTTGTCACGCCGTCCCTCCTGTTGTAATCTTGAACTTATACCTCATGTTGATATTTCATTCATTTTCAAATTTCATACTTATGTATCATAATTATGCTCCTCCTCATACTATTTCCTCTCTCATATTACCACCTAATACACATTCCTCATTGTTCCACCTCATACCCGTTTCTCATACTACCATTACACATATTTCATCACCGCCCTCATACAATGTACAATTTATGAAACTACTGCCTCCTCCTGCATTCTCAAATCTCGATACCGTTCTGAAATGTAATGCTAGATTTATCGTTTCAGGAATGGCTGTGATTTCACAAGGATATCAACCACCGTATAACCAACAACAGCCACCACCGTATAATCAACAACAGCCACCGTATAACCAGCAACAGCCACCGTATAACCAGCAACAACCACTACAACCATCAGCCTCTAATGGCCAGTTCTCTACGCCATACGGTTACGGCGGTCAGCAGTCAAGCAGCGTTGAGAAACCTGAAAAGTTCGACTCAGCAGTGCCCCCTGTAGCAACTTATAGAAATCCATAGTAACTTATAAAGTACTCCATCAAATCAAACGTATATAACTTTACTTGTGAAAAGGTGTCACAGCTCTGGATTATCATTAAAGCTGCATGCCTCAGATAAGCCAAAATTTTAAAGAAAATCAAACTTGAGAAAAATTTTAGAAAAGTAAAAAAAGATTCATATTCAAACAATAATTTACGTTTTATTTGTGATTAATGACTGATTTTGCAGTGATAATCACCATATTCTGGCATCTTTTTTTGTAATTTACGAGGATTTTAGGTGCCGTTTGCAGTGTGTTAATAACGTTTTTCACAATATTTTAATTTTTAAAAGATTTTTAAACTTTTGAATTTGGAGGCATGCTGCTTTAAAAATGATCAGCATTTGCTTTGTGAATGTCATCTTAAAATATGTTTGTTTTTTATATCTGCTATCTACTCGAAAAGATTGTTTTAGGTTTAGAGGAAATATCTGTTTACCAGGGTAAACAGATAGTGGTGTGTTGTTATTTGAACTGTTGTAAGATTATTTTTTATTATAACTTTCTGAATACAATGTATATCCATAATGTATATATGGTTTTTAATAATCATTTTGTATGCATTCTAAAAATTTCTAATAATGATTAGAAATCAGTTAACTATTAATAGAAATATTTTACAGTATTTTTCTATAGATGTGCCTTCTGTTTAATTTTAACCTTTTTTCATGGATATTTTTTTTTGCTTTAAAGTTTGTATTATTAACACTGAATAAAGTTTATTGTATTGTTTGATGAATGCGGTTTACAAAGTCTGTCTCCTTTTGATTGGTAATCAAGAAGAAGCAATTATAAAATAATCTGTTAATTCAGCGTTGTTAGATTGTTTCTGGTCCTACGGAATCAGTGATTGCAATACATTTACTTAATTGTGTCGAATATGTAATACTGCTTATAACTACGGTAATCATGACTTTTTATTTCGTCCTTACTCGCGATGCACGATGGTACGATGGTGAAAACGCGATGGTACGAAGATGAAGTACCATACCATAGCGACATTGAGTACTCACCATCGTACTGTTGAACCATCGTGTTTTCACCATCGTGTCATCGTGCCATCGCGTTTTCACCACCGTACGTCGCGGGTAAGGATGAAATAAAAAAAACCACGATTGTCCAAAGGGAAGACCGTATATAACAGTGCTAGAGTTTGTGAGAGAATGATGTTTCACCTTTCATTATCTCTCATGAACAGACTCAGTCAAACCATGAAAGGAACAAAAAAGTCTGTGGTCAGTAAGATCGGAGTTCGACTTTGATCATAACTTTGGTTGCCGTCAAACAGGGTCTTCCAGCGTCAAATAAAGTTGGATGACAATAACAAGGAGCCAATTGCTGTTTAAAGATGTCAAGTTAGATTCAATTAAAACATGATAAAAATGCAAAGTGTGAAGTAAATTTATGCGGCAATAGATGAACTTATTCGGCTTTAACATAATGAAAAGTCACATCTGTTAAACTGTGAAAATTTAAAGTGCTCGAATTAACCGTTTCTTAAATTATATAGTGGTCAGTTTATAGCAAAGTAAAACTTGGCAGATAATCATCCCGTTGCCACCCAACATTTCCTTGACAATCAAATATATCAGGAACTTTATGACATCACGTATCAAAGGTATCCAAAGGTATGCATATTAATGAATCGAAAACTCCAAATTTAATGCAAAGCGAAATCAGTATGCACATAAGCGGATTTTTTAAAGTTCATTTTCCTTTTTAGGCATACTCTAACATTTTAGATGAACTTGTCGACCAGTTTCTTTCAATATACAACTGTATATGAACAAAACCATTGATAATTTAAGGGAACATTAAAAAATGTAACTTTACTGAATAGCAAACCATGCAGACCATGATCAAAAGACATGGATATGCGGGATGGTCCCAAGTCTACATAGTCGTACTGGTAGAAAATCGTTGCTCCCGAAGGCTAAGGGGGAGGGGGAGAATCAAAAGTTATCGCTATGATTGAGTTATATGCTGACTCGAAGAAACATTTGTAACAGCCTTACAGGCAGTCTTTCAGGCAATGACTGCAAGTCCGCACTGGTCTCTGGATGGGGTGGCGTTCTGACTTGTACCAGTTTTACGATGAAGGGCCTGTCATTTGAAGTCCCAGCTGATACACAAATAAAATTCTAATTTAAATGTAGACTTATTCAGCTTTCATGAACGCGAATAAAGCAGATTGAAAAAAAAGAAAACAGATAAAAAAATAAAGATAAATGGCAACGGAAATTATGTAAATGTTAACACATAGACCGTGTATGTTAAATATGATGCACATAAATACTCGCACGAGCGCGTTATATTGTCGCAAGTACACTAGTTGATACCATCTTAAAACATGTTGCCCGTGGTCATTTGTTGAGGATGACATACATCATTGTCTCTGAATCAACGAGCTGTCGGCAACAATATATTTACTTTTACTGTTTTATAAAAAAAGAAGGGCATGCCTATTTGTTTGTGCGTTTTTCGTACCTTAAAATGTTTGTGCCAAAAAATACGCGAGCTCACACAAATACGGCACGCGCGGAAATGGATGCAAAATCTGAAGGAAAAAAATGCAGTCGGTCAATGAAATGGATTTTCGCGAAAATTGATAAAAAAAAAATCCCTTAATAATAGAACAATATCGGTTCGGAAAAATAACACTAACGATAATATCGATCAAATATGGTTTTTGAATATCGCGATATATATATATATATATATATATATATATATATATATATATTATATATATATATATATATATATACAAACACATTCCTCCATTTACGGGGCATCGGTCTATTTGACCATACTTGTGGGTTTATATTTAATGTGGGGCATACATAAGGCCTCGCAACTCTGGCATGTTTAAAACGATGTATGGGGCGTAGGCTACCCTTCTAACATAGTGCCCGTAGGCCGGTTTTAGTAGTAAATGATATATGTCCCACAAATGTATATATTTTTAATGGGGTTTTATGTTATTGGTCAATATGTTTTCACCTATGGTAAAATCAAATATATAGTTTATATATATAACTTAGTACCCCTTAGTTCTGTTGTATGGAAATGTTCATTATAGGCCTATATAGTGGCGTATATAAAAACTGACTGCATGAAATAATGCCACTCAACTCGGTCTTATATATGGGCCCCGTAAGTGAAGATATGTGTGAATATATATATATATATATCGGTACGAAATTTTGGCAATGTAATTGTAATATACCTTTTTCTTTTTTATTTGAAATGTTTTGTGTTTTATTTTCGATAGAAACACGTTAAGATACAATGTCATTATTCAATAAATGCTACAAATTTTGTAACTGAAATAGGAACAATCATAAATTAATCGTGTGTTTTGTTAATGAATAACTGAACTTATGGTAACAAAGGCCATATTTGATCATTGAATAATAAGGTGAAATGTAAAATTGAATATCATTTTAGTATAAAATTAGTATAAAATTACTGATTATTAATATGTAGTCACTTATTAAATTATATTTCGATTACACTATACAGCATTGTAAATATGTGATAATATATTTTAAATTATACCAGAAAAAATGATTATTAATAAACAGTCGACTCCACTTATAACGAAATCGCTTATAAGGAATTATCGTTAATAGTGAACTAAATCTGACATCTGCGGCCGACTCCTTCTTTATTTTATATTAAATCACATCGCTTAATACGTACTCGCTTAAAACGAATTTCGGCTATAACGAACCATTTTTTTAAGTCCCAAACAGCGAAAAACATGTAAATTTCCTCGGTTTAAACAAACTGTTCTACAACTGAACAACATTTCAAAATATTGTTCATGTTTTTTTTTTTTTTTTTTTTTTTGGAACTGGGACATACGATATACGTTATCGTATGCCCAGTTTGGAATATCGACGAGATGCAGAACTGTACTGTGTTACAACTATAGTTTTTTACGCATGCGCAAACTTACGCATGCGCAAAATAGATAGTCTACAGAAAACAACAGATTATTTTACTGGCCTAACTGACGCGAAAATTTATTATATCTAGTGCATCTAAAGTTGCGCCCATATTTTTAATAAGTGACCTGTCAAAATGTTTTATCTGCATTTTCTAGACATAACACATAGCCCAGTATTGCTTCTACCCAGTTCCCCCTTAAGTAAATCATGTGAAAGTTGTTGTTGTTGTTGTTGTTGTTATATTACAGATGAAGAGTACGAATTACAAAATTTTGACTTTATGCAGAGTATATTTCGTAACAAAATTTCGGTGAACAGACAAGCTGTGTGCCACTGTAATTGTTTCATTATATTGTTAGTTTCTTCAATTCAAACGGAATTTTAAAGGAAAACAAAGGGATTTTAACATAAGACATTGGAAAGCGCTTTGATAAAATGAGTAAGTAAATGATATATTTGTGTCGTTGCTTTTTTTTCGGGCAATTTACAACTAGAATTTAGGACAGAAATAATTTATTTCATTAATTAATTATACATGGCTTAATTTGGAAACGTACTACTGAAAAGGTCCTATACACATCGTGCCTAACATTATAATTTGTGGTGAACTTTATAGCGACATGCCTCCAGATGAGCCAAATATTTAAAAAATAATCAAAATTGACAAATATGTACCTGTAATAAGATTTTAAGAAAAAAATAAAAGATTCAAGTAGTTATTTACATGTTATGTGTGATTAATGACTGATTTATGACTGTAATTTCTACGTGACAAACGTAAGGGTAATTTTGGAATATTTGACCTTGTTTTGGTGGGGAGGGGTGGGGGGAGGGTTAAGTGAATTGTAAGTACCGTGACAAAATATCATTGTGATAGTAGATAAAGTGAAGCTTATGACGTTATGACATTTCTTGAAGTCATACATCACATATTTGCAAGTGCCCGTAGAAATATTTCTTTTTTCTTGTCGCTTGGTGTAAATGGAAATGGTACTGTTGTTGTTGTTTTTCAGGGTTTTTTCCTTGTGATATCAGACAAGAGTTTCTTTTCTTTTACATATCGCATACTTTTCTTCTTCCTTGTGTTAATTACGTCTTGTACATTATATGAAACGAACACTTGTTTGTTTCGCGGGCACTTTGGACTCGATTTTAATTAAGATGTTTAAATTAGAAACAAAATAAAGTCAGCAATCGACCCAGGTTCATATTTCGACTTTCTAAAGGGGATTGGGCTGTTAGGGGTTGAGGTACTAAGGTGCCCGTATGAATTAATGCACAAAACTCAATGTATAAATAAAAAATGTTACAGGTCTTGCTAGCTTGTTAGAAATGGTGTCAGCATAATATGTTTCTGTCAAGAACATCTCTAATGTACAATAAAAAGAAAAAATATTGAATGAACTATGAAACAATTTTTAAAACTTAAAAAAATATTTTTTAATGTCGGCATAATTTGTTTCTGTCAAAACGTTATCAGGGCATGAAAACAACAACAAAAAAAAACAAAGTTTTCAATCTAACTGTACAAGACGCATACACTTTAACAAGATCAGATGTGGTCAGAATTTATGTTGGACATACATTTTGACACTTTTGTACTGAAAACATTTGTAAGTTGGTAGACAAACGGAGATGGCGCGGATAAATAGGAAATATCTATATATTCTTCTCTATCGATATTGTCTTGGCAATTGAATGTTTGGCAGTTGGCAACTTGGCAATTATATCCAATTTGTCGCGCTTATTTCTGCCCTGCCCTGCCCTGCCCTGCCCTGTCCTGTCCTGTCCTGTCCTTCCTTCCTTCCTTCCTTCACAATTTGGAATAGGAACATCAGTGTCGGCTGATCTTGGTCTGCACTGGTCGCATGGTTACAAGAATGCTAGAGGTTAAATGAAATACTGGGTAATACCATGAACACGTGTATTAATTATCTAATTCCTTGTAGGTGCAGTGCCTGTAGCAGAATTTCTGAAGGACCCGTCATCTTGGGTGGCACAGCCTGGCTGTGAATGCAGATCAGCTGGGGTGGGTAAGTACATGTGAGCCGCGCCATGACAAACCCAACGTAATGCGTTTGCGACCAGCATGGGTCCAGACCAGCCTGCGCATCCGCGCAGTCAGATCAAGATCAATGCTGTTCGCTATCAGTTTCTCTACTTGTTATAGGGTTTGTAAGCGAACAGCATGGATCCTGATCAGACTGCGCGGATGCGCAGGCTGGTCTGGATCCATGCTGGTCGCAAACCCACTATGTTGGTTTTGTCATGACGCGGCTCAATTGTTACTTTTTTCATGTTTCTAACCGTTTATAGAATTAAATCGCATATAATAACTTCATACAAATTGTATATTATAACATTTCAAAATGGATTTTAGTTTTCCACAGCTTATTTCATAAGTTTGAATTCGTTATCAGAACCATGGAAATCTTAGATGAATTTAGGATTATATTACATGTACATTTGTGCATAGTATTTTCTAGATATAAAGCTATCATAAAAGAATAAGAATTAACAGGTGATTTTCATAAAGACAATAATGATTTGCTTAATTCTAGGTATCGTGAATGAAGTCGTCCCTCTTTACACTGCTGGTACCGGTGGTTCACTTCCGGGCCTCACATCTGAAGAGACCGCCATATTGGCAGGTGTTCTGACAGGGTTGGCAACGTTCCTATTTCTACTGTTGCCAATATTGTGTTGCCTTTGCCCGTTGCCATGGGCATGCTGTGGTTGCGGCAAGAAAAAGGCGGCAGCTGCCGGCGCTGGCCATCGTCATGGTAACATTGCTAGGTAAGTAACCATGAGTTAAATTTTTAAAAAAAAATATGAGGGGACTGTTATGTTGTTTACCAAATTCTGTAATTGTCATTACCTTTTGCATGTTTGTAATATTTCATTTAAGAAACATTCAATTATCGTGTCTGCTTAAGATTCGCTGGAATCATTCAACGACCATATTTCCCCTTCAATTTAAATATACAGATATTGAAAGATATTTTTGCATAATAAAAAGTATTTTAATAAGTATATTTGATTATCCAGATCACACCACAATTGGTAGAACAAGTGTACAAAGAAAACTTAAATGGCAGAGAAAAAGAAAAAAAGGCAAATATTCCATATTTGTTGAAAGAAACCAAATCGTCTATTTTGACAATCGGAACATTTCGGCTATTATTAATAATAATTCTTATCCGAAGTTTGACGGAAAAGGCCGAGAAAATGCGATTGCCATTTTAAGTCTTATCAAAGACGAGAGTATCTTTCAAACGTTTCATTCCAGTATGGTAGCAATTTTTATTTTATATTGCAGATCAGATGCCTCGTTTTGGAGTACTGGTTCCTGGGGTAAAGGCGACAAGATGGACTATGACCATTTATACGGGGTGTAAGTAGTCAAAAAGTTGTACTATTAATGTAGGTTGTAAAATGTTCAATACTGAATGATCTAGCGTGTAAGTAGTATGGCAGAAGATATGTGTATATTTTCCAAAAGGTTCTGGTAACAGGTTCAATACTTAAGCGTCTAATTAGATAGCTAATTTTGTCAATTGACCTGTAATCCAAAGAATTTAGGTAACTGATTTTATACTACAGGCTCTAAAATTACTTAAAAATGGTATAGAGCCGAGAAACAGATAAAATTGATTGATAAAAAGTTATTAAATATAAATATAATATAGAATAATAACGTCAAATACGATAACTTAGTTTTGCTAAATCCAATGGAACGTAGAAGTATCTACAACATATATATATTATAAACTCTGCTTATAACGATATCCAGGGGACCGTCGAATTTATATCGTTTCATCCGGATATCGTTATATCCGAAAAAACAAAATTGAGACCGCGGCAACAGCATCGCTATAAATGGTATATCGTTTTTAAGCAATATCGTTATAAGTGGAGTTCACTGTGATTACATTTATATCTATTTATTGTAATTACATTTATCTGAATAATTAAACAAATATTCAAATACATGTATATGAAAATTTAGGCAGATTTCAAGGACAGTGATAAACCAGCTTCCTCTCGAAAATGTCCCTTAAATAAATTGGTCGGTAAAGAGAGGTTGGTGTTCTAGATGGGTTACATTTGTGGAATAATCATTTTGTAAGAAATATTGTTATTAGAAAAAGATTGTTGTTATACAAAGGAATCAATACCAGCCTGTTCTTTAACAGTGACTGGTTTGGTTTGTCCACCTCAATTTCCAAATTTAAAGGGATGCGCACTTTTATGTATATATGATAATGAAATTTTGGTTATTTCCTTTCGATCTTTCGCCGTAATTTTCCTTTCAAACAAATTTGCATTTATGTACCTTTGTATATTTGCACATATACAATTTATATGTACTCAATCAGCTTTATACACTTATATTGTAGAGATATGAAACTTCCAAGACCATGGGTCGATAACTCCAGGTAAGGAAACGTTATAATATACGGTATATATTCTTATATAATAAAATGTATACCACTTTTAGCTGTTCTGTATCAAATAAATAAAGTCTGCCAAACCAAAGTAAAAAGGCCGGGTTAGAGTTTAAGTCAAGTATGTCTTTAAAGACCAGTCTTAAAAAATAGAATAGCATGGTAGAAATTGACCAATTAATGAGGTTAATTTCCACGACATTTTCTATTAAAAATTTATCTATTATTTTTGTTGAGAAATAACATATTATTACATGTATGCTGAATATGCATCCTGTCGTCTGCTAATCTAAATGACTTCCAATACATGTAAGTTAATATGCGAACTATCATATTTTAAGAAAATAACCCTTTATGTCATTTTCAAAATTACGTCAAAAGACGTTTACGTTATCTTTGACGTTAAAAATGAAAATATTAATAAGCCTTGAGATGCGAAATGAATATAAATAGGTCAGCGGATTTCTCTCATCTTTTTTTTTTAATTTTAAGAGCATAAGAACTGAATATCTTTTAAAAGTACAGGTTAATGTGTCCGATAAAAAATGACGTAAAGGGTTCTTTTCTCATGCCGTTATTTTTAATTAATAACAGGTTAAACTGACGTTAGTTGTGTATTGAGTCATTAGACACGTCATTAACGTACGAACGTGAGTTATATGACGTTTTGACACTTCAAAGGTGTAACTGTTTGTATATATGTCATGTCTAAACACAATATGTCCACCCGTTGGTCCGCATATCTTTATTATTACTATATTCAGGCCATGCATACACTAATATTTGTCTTAAGCTTTGAAAATTACACCTTTTTTCTTTACATATACGGTATGTTCAATAATGCTCCTCCACCCTCTCGGGCACTTGGAATACGGGTCTAACATGTTCACATTTCGACTTCATTATTTTTTATACGTAGAGCCTAAACAGCCCCAAGAACTCCGCCCAAACAGGATGCAGTTGGCTTATTGATTGTGATCCCCTATAAATAATCTTCATTTTTTTCCAATTCAAAGCAGGATGCACGGCTATGAATGAGTAAATGATACGTCAATCTATGATCTTTATCTTCTTATTAACAAATAACAAATTTAGAACAATGAAATATCGTGCAATATTTCACATATCTCTTTTGTTTTTCAACAGTTCGGGTGACAAAGACTAAAGAATCTTTATGTTGCTCCTAAAACCTTTATCAGATCTAGTGGTTAATTGTTTAAAAGCTTTTATGGCCTGAGGAATAGGCCGATACCATTTCGCTTGACAAACGAAGTCTGGATCTATCTTTTTGTTTTATCTAGTTAATGTTACCTTGGCAACGCTTTACCACCATGGGCCAATTTTTGGTGTATATACTTTTTACTAAACAAACTTGGTCGTTAAAAATCCATATATTTAGAGTGGGAACGGTCTAAAACTAGGATATATCAAAATTTCCACATGCTTATTGTCATCTGTTATTGTTTATTTTATATTATGCCCCTTTACCAATGCATGACATAGTAAACAAGCCGACATTTGGTAGATATTTGATCGTCAACAACTTTTAGAGTGAGCAGAATTTTTGAGACACTTGATTTTAGTACAGAATCTCGTTTCACGTTGCTAGTACGAAAAATAATACACTATTATCTTGATACGAGAACAAACCATTATCGTTTTGATGTATAATTTTCTATGATGACACCAAGTTGCTTCATTTTTTGACGATTATTGTCTTATTCGTTGCTTTATGTTTTCTAGTAACCACTTTGACTCCAAGCTTCACCATGATGGCGGATGGGAAGGGGCAGACATGACTCGGTTAGTCGTTATTGTTTGTTTGTTTTTGTTATGTAAATAAAAGGAAGTTATATAAAAGTATATGTAAACCTAAACTTGTGCAAAAATTTGAAAAAACCATTGCCTACTAAATGGAAACAAAGTATGTTGACATGGTCCATGTGCGTACGAAACAAAGATCTCCAATGACCCCTATTTCATCACAACTTTTTTTCGTCATACATCGGAAGAGGAATAATGGGTAAACGCCAATTAATTTCTGCCAGCATTATGCCCTTGCAATATAAGAACCAGTTTTTAGGTCAGCATTGACCATATTTTATTTCATAAAGATCTCTCCGAGGATTGATTCTTTCAAAATATAATTATGATGTTCAAAATGAAGAGTTTCCAAATTTAACTGAATCTAGCTAGTATGGTTCACATTTCAGGGATGAGATTGATGCAGCTATTCGTTCTAACGGAGCAGGCGGGGAAAGTGAAATTGCGGCACAGTCTGGAATTGTAACATACGCTTCCGGTGAAGGTGGCCATGACAACGCTGGTTACAGGTAAAACATGTCAGGGCAAAAGTTCTAACCAAAATATTGTTATCTTTGACCTTGCACTTCTTTTGGTATTACTTTAACTTAAAAATATCTACTTCAAATAATTTTACAGACTGTAATTGAGGGAAATTGTGTTGATTTTACAGGCATTAAATTTAACTCAGCTTGCAGAAGGTTCAACGTCATCAGAAAGTAATTGCTTACTATACAGAAAAGGGTAATGTGTCATATTGCTTTTTCACAAAGTAAAACTGACATTAAATTGTGAGTGCCTCCTTAAACCCTATAACACCTCAATTATTTATAAAGCCTCATGCACCATAACAGACTGGTCATCAATCAAATATAAGACTTATCAAGTATCCTTTAATTTCTCGTATTGTATCATAAACAGGTTTTTGACAAATTAACATTCGTGAAAAAATGAGCATGTCATGTGCTTTTTTTTATAATAAATAGTTCTGCGGAGAGAAGCCGCGGAGGCGGTGATGAAGTGATTACGGAATACACCACAACACGGAGGGTGGATATGCATATTGGTGCAATGAACCCGGAGGAGGCGGAGGGATACTACACGCAAACATATGGACAGTAAGTTTTTCCCTATCTATTTGGTGATTTAGATATGAAGGTGTTTCGTGATTTGATTAATTTGTTTTTGGTGATTTGATTTATCCTTGTATGATATCATGGTAAATTGCCAGCATTAGTTGCTCGAAGTTTGTGAATGGTAAATGGTATGCTGATTAATATGAAATTCTTCTTTTGTTACAGTTGGTATGTGAAATAAACTTTGACCTTTAGGTTTACATTTTATCTTTAAACCATGCTGCAATGAACAGTAACATTTAGTAATTTGGTGAGAAATGCTAAAAGAGTTATTGCCCTTGCAAGTACAGTATTTCTAGAATGAAAGACTGACGATAAAATGTTTTTGGAAAACACTTTTTGCAAGCTAAGATTATGAAATCTCGAAAATTCACGTGAAAACAAGCGAGATTTTGTCTCTTACTAATACATAGGTTTAGTGAATAATCAATTTAAACTGCAAAGTTTATGTTGCACAGCATGCTCGAAGCTGATATGCATGTTTAGATTGTGTACACGACAGTAATTATACAAGAAAAGCATTGATGCAAAGCATCAAAGGGCGACGCCAAAAGAATTTGATCCAGGTTTGCACCTAAATACTTAACAAAAGATGTGTACTTTATAGCAGTACCATTTCATGTGACCTGGAGGCTTGGCCCAGTTTATGTTGAAACTTAAACCCAAAAGAATAGACTCTGTCTTGCCAAGATGCAAAGACAATTTATAGTCAATAAACCAATCTTAAGATTTACTTTACCAGATACAAGGATACCTGAGTCATCAACATATAATGACAGGCACAAGTATCACACCTGGAGAAAAAATATGACTATGATAAGAAATTTTATGAAGGCTGATTTGTATTTTACATCAAGGGCACCGGGCGAAAACATGAAAATGCAACAAACGAACCACTTTGTGGTAAATTGAATTTTCATGTTTTCATCTGGCGCCCGGTTACTTTTTGTACTTTGTTGGTTTTCTTGTGGCACAAAACACCCACTATAAAATTACAACTGGTAAATTTTATAAAACAAAAATTGTAAGTAATACTTAAGATAGACAGAAACGAACAAATAATTTAGTAAACATGAGTTACTTCCCCTTGAAATATAGAAAACATGAAACCCAAAAGAACACCCTAAACATTAAAATTAAGAAATGTTGCAGGCTAATTTTAATTATGCCATGCAAATTAATGGTAAAGTATTCATAAAAAAGTAGATGGCCATGTGACAGCAGTAATTGCAGAAAATCGGATAGCTGTCACATCCGGACACTGGTACACTTTGTAAAAACAACCATTCTGTTCAACAGATAAACGTAATATGGATAAAATCAATAGGATAATCGTTTACAACAGTCCATTACCTATCCTGATACTCATTTGCAGGTGAACTTTCTTCTTGTAGGAAAGTTTTGAAAATATATAAATGAATGAGCATCAATGTAGACCACAACGATATTCGAAATCCGGGTTTTAGTATTGTCAATAAAACAAAGGGACAAGCTGTTAATCTGAGCCAGCAATTTCGTGAAAATAATATCACAATGCACATGCTTTTTATATAAAGTTATTAAATACAAATATAACAACATATTTGTTTACTTGTTTTTTACGAATCAAAATAAATATAATTAACACAACATGAAATTAACTGCTAATAATAACAGCTCCTTCCATAGACCAAAATAAAAAGCATTCCATAAAAGACGACGCCGCTCACCGGCGTCGCCAATAAAACTCAAACCAGCAATATCTGAACAAATTGTCCAAATCATATAAACCGAGTCCAGTTTAGTCTACGAATATTTGCAGACTTTTGCATTAATATATTTGGTGCTCATACTTATCCGGTCATTTTCGCAACTTTCCGTGTTTTTGTTTCTTTGTTTTTATTGGTCGTTACTTTTCTATGGTGGCTGATTTGTGCCAGTCGTGTTTTCGCCCCACGACCTTGCCAAGTGAAAAGTCGAAAAATAACAAGTAAAATGGGGGGGGGGGCGCATCGAAAACATGCTAAATAGCGAGGGCGCGGGGCAAGTATAATAAATAAAACTTCGCCGCACGCCCCCGCTTATTAGTGCGTTTCGTCCCGCTACCCCGCCAAGCGAAAAGTCGATAATTAACATATTAAAATTGCGGACCTAGCAGCGAAACAAGCTTATTAGCGGGGGCAACAAGCTTATTAGCGGGGCGCTAATAAGTGTGTTTTCGCTCCGCGCCCTCGCCGTTTTACTTCTTAAATCTCGCCCCGCGACCCCGCAGGGCGAAGTTTTATTTATTAAACTTCGCCCGCGCCCTCGCTAATTAGTGTGTTTTCGCTGCGCGCCCCTGCGATTTTAACTTGTTAATTTTCGACTTTTCGCTTGGCCGGGTCGCGGGCGAAAAACACGAATCAGCCACCATACAAAGACTTTTATCACGGAAATTGGCGAAATATGCCGAATTTTAACGAACTTGTTGTGAATATTATGTCATGAACATGTTTGATTTTCTGTATAAACTAGCTATGAGGCCTTTGCCATACCCCGCTACAGACGTGCTGATTTGGGAGAGACAGTTTTCCTAGAACATAGCCCTGGAGAAATGGAGGGATAAAATAGCCATGGTGATAGTCTGATATGCACCGTCCTGCATAACGTTTAATATTCCCGCCTTTTTATATACATTATACACATATTTATATGCATTTCAATAAGCTTTACAGCCTGATTTTGTGACGATGAAATTTTGTGATTACTTCCTGTCCTTCCTCAAACTGAGAAATATTCAAGTAAACTGAATTTTGGTTATATCAGCGTTGTGTCGTCTGCCTCGCACATGTATTACCGCGAAAAATTAATGTGATTTATCTCCGTGACAGTTAGTATTTAATTAATCAAAATGCAACAAGGATGCAATATAATTTAGTTTTTTTTACAATTATATTCGAAGTGCAATGAATCAACGTCTCACTGCATTCCCCTATGATATGACATTATGAAAAATTATCAGCGTAGATTTTATGTAAGTCTTCCAACGTAATTTTTGTCACGTGTTAAACAAGAAGTCTCTGGCAAATTTTAGAAGACGATTTTCGAATTATGATTATTATTTATTGAGTTTCTTGTTCTCATTAACTTAAAAACTATCGGACTATTTTATTACGCGCATACATGCACGAACGGCATATGAAGGCGACAAATAATGACCTGTTTTGGATAAAGTTATTATTTATTATTCTGTTTAAAATAAGCTTTGGTACATTTGTTAATATATTATAGTTTAAGCCTTCGAGAGAGCACATTTTTATTAGTTTGATAAACAACAAATTTCATAATCATCACTTCGTCATGCTTCGAAAAAAGACCTCAAATGGTTCATGTAATGTATCTTGAGTCTTCAATAAAGATTATATTGTGATACTAAATTAATTTTGAAATGAAAGGGGACAAAAACAAACGGATTTTTTTTATTTGCGACAAGGTCGGTTGACTCCGCCAGAACAAGTGATAAGTGGGTGATAGCCAAGTGTTCCGAGTGATGGGTTTGGTACAAAATGTCGAGTCACAAAGCTTACTGTTTTTGTATATATGCGCCTGCTGCTTGCTTGTTTGTTTGGTTGATGTTGTATTATGTGCATTTTATTTATGAAAATATACATGTTATGCTGCCGATCATATTTGTTTGCAGAAACGTTCACTTCTCCACTTTTGACATATAATAATAGTAACTATTTGTCTATAATGTAAATGAACGCTTGGATTTTATTGAAATGCTGGTGATTCCTAAAAGAAAGAGTTCCAAACTACGCCGCATCAAAAGTGAAGAATTTACGTTTCAGCTTAACGAGCATGCTATGGAACGCCAGGGTTGTCTTTAGTTGCCCTAGATACATGAAGAATATTAAAGTGTTTTTTATTTACTTGTTTCTACCTGGGACAGAAGATAACTTGTTATCTTCTGTCCCAGTTTATACGACGATTATGTTGTTTTCTATCAGTTTCTTTTATTATGCATTCTAAAGTAAAACATTTACATTATAGGATTTATCGGAGTATTTTCTCATCGTCGAAAATTATGCTTATTATTACTATTGAAAATAAGACAACTTTGGCGTTCCATAGATATTGTATTCCATATTCACCCTATATCTATGCATGTTTTGCCATTATGCCTATGCTTTTATACCATCTATTTGTAGCAATTTGCCAAGAAGGTACAGAAAATTCAGGAAACCCAAGCCGTTTATTGTACTATAGGTAGGACTAACGTTTGTCTGTCTGTCCGTGTCTGGTATGTGTATTATTCTGGATCGAACAATTGGCCGATTCTTTCGTAGTAAGACGAAATAGTGCCAAATTGTAGACCTTGTGAAAAAGTGGACATTTAAATTACTTACTAATATGTTAATAACTTCCTATTTCAAATGTGAAATGATGTGCTTCGTTTTTTTTTATTGTACAAATAGGTATGTTGTGCTATTCTCTCACATATTTTTAAAACGCAGACCTGCACATGATTGTACAATGTTTAATTTTTGTGTCAAACTTCTATATTTGTTGATTTTGTCTTTTGCCTTAAGGTGACCATTCCTAACTGTGTAAGCTATATCATATATTAATTTATTACTATAAAGTGGATTGTTTTCGCGTTTATTAATTTTATATGTAATGATACAGATCGAGTCCGTTAGAACTCGATTGGGATTTATTTGAACCGCAGATTGTGGAGCATTTCCTCGATCTAGTACTATTTTGATTCCTTTTTCTTGTATTTCCGCTTTTTTAACGATCTTTTCATATTATCTCAGTCAATGGGCATATATCTTACATGTTATATTTTACATTTGACGTACTAAGTAACCTGCTAGTTCAAAATTTGTCAATTTACGAACGTTAATTAAAAAAAACCCAACAGATTAATGATCGGTAAAACAATATAAGATAGTACCAAGGAAATGTTTGTCAATCTGCGATGGGATCCCGAGTTCCTGTCGTTGAAGACGGACAAACTGAAAGGGCGTGGGTAACGTCCAAGCAATATGATGAATAATGTCACTGTATAAATTTATTTCTGTTTTTATTACACCGGAAGTGGTTATCAAAACACCGGAAGTGGTTACGTTTAACTTGAAAGAGTTTTAGGCAGAAAGTGCATGTAATGAGAGATACTGATTTATATATTTTTAAATGTGTAATTATATACTCAATGCTGCTATCATTCTTTGTATACGTCATCAGATTATAGGGGTTTTCTCCCATGTTTTCAAAGAGCAATGAAATTGAATATATTATATTCTTTATTTGTATTTTATTTATTAGTTATGTCATCATTCATTATATACGTCAATTGATTATAGGGTGTTTCACAAACACTTCAGAGAACAGGTGAAAATGAATATACATGTATTAATTATTATCTTTCAGGGACTCGGACATGTCTAAGGACAACTTTATGAAGATTTATCACTCGTACAGAAATAAACTGAGTGGTTACGACCATTGAATGTGTTTGTTTGAAATCCTGTAAATTATATGACCGAGAGAGTGTTGTGATTTATTTAAACTATATTCCATACTGTTTTACTACAAAAATATTAAAGAGCTACTTACGTGTCTTGTCATACAATTTTTATATGTTGCATGCTCACCTTTAAAGATAATACGTTAGGGACTAGGGAACATGTTTATACCTTGAATAAGTTAATGCATGTGTATCAATTTGTTATATGATTGAATATGGCCATGTTTGTGTAAAATTGTCATTATCTATACATTTTTGCTAAAATTATTTTATGAATATAGTTTAATAGCTCATCTCACTGACATAAGTTTATTAATAGATTTGTCAAAATCTGTTTATGAATAAATTAATGATTTTGCTAAAAGAACTGTGAACCGATTTGTGCTGTTTATGAAAGATAAGTGACTTCATAGATAGATATGCCATATAACTAGAATAACTTACGAATAGATCTGTAATTTTGCCAAAATAATATGAATATATTTGTCAAGTCAGTCACGAAAATAAGTTTAGTGATGGCTGCTACAGGCTAATTAAAGTGGGTTGGTCGACAATGGGTGAATTTTCCATTAGTATTTCAATTGTTGATAAAAACAATAAAAATGTATTATGTGGATATTTTTTTTATAAAATATTGCTTGCTAAAGAAAGTTGATGAAGTTATTTGTGATTTAGTATGAATAGATGTATATGATGACCAATAATAGTTTTTCTACAACAATTTAATAGGTGCTATATAAAGTAGGTCATATCTGAGATGTATCTGATAATAAATACTATCAAGGTATTTATTTACTATATTACAGACCAATTCACTTTAAAAGAAAATAATATAAATAGATTTAGTATTGAAATATAGCTATACTGCTAAAAATTGTGGTAATGTTTAGCTTTGCTTTAATAATAATGCATACGTTCGTCTGCAAGAATTTAAGCTGGTTATGAACTATTTTTGCTTAAGGTGTACATGTACTTATAAATGAAAGACTGGGAAATATTGATGAAATAAAATATGTTTTTTCATTTTCCGTATTATCACTGTAAAATTAATTTTTCACTGCAGTGAAACATATTTTACGTATTTTCACTGGTGTATTGCTGGACTACTTTCTTGTAAATTCAGTACAAAATTTAAATAGAAGTCTTTCAAATTGTAATGTAAAAAAAAAGAGAATTATGTATATAATAAACACAAAATTCAAGTTTTTTCTTGAAATACAGGATTTATTTCATCTTGTGATATGAAAATTTTCATGTTTCACTCGTGGCTACCACCTCTCATGAAATATTTATTCGATGAAAAATAATCCTGTATTTGCAGAAAAAACTTGAATATCCTCAAAATGATTCTTTTCTTCAAAATTCTTTTTTTTTTGTTTTAATTAATATTTCATAGTACAATACGATTTCAAAGGTTTGTCCATATTCCATAACTCAAATTTGATGGTTTTGCACGGGCTGTTGTTAAAAGAGACCCATGTCAAGATTTGTCTTGGTTTTCTTGTCAAGCTACATTTGATTAAATGTTATCATTATGTGCTTCGCTCCTGGTATGGCTCTTAACAATATATATTTTAATATGTAGCCTTTGCTTAATACAAAATCATATGATTGGATAATGTGTTATTACGCGTGATTTGTTAGAAAAAGTTATAGCTTTAATCAACTAGCTGCTATGTTTTCTACCTTATACCAGTTGCGTTATGTTAAGGGCTTTTTTGCTCACGTTTTTTTTTTCTTTCTTAACTTATAGGTTTTTGTTTTACTAATGTGAAATTCTTTGTCGTTTTTGTTGTTTTATTTTGATTTAAACCACAAATATTATTCAATTTACAGTGATTTTAGATATCTGACATTTTGTTGTGACCTTGTGACCTTTCAAGTATGCATATTTTATGCTTCTTTGTTTTTGTTTTTATTTCTTGACTTACATACACAAATACCTCTTTTGTGATAAATACATATATTTTCCAAATATTGTTGAAATATTTTGATGGTGCAAAAGCAGAATAAATGATTAAATATACTTTCTCTTGTTAGTTGTTTCATTAACATAACATGTAGTCAAAGGGGTCACCAGAAAACAAAAACTTCATATTATGGCAAAAACGAGTTATCTAGAAATACAATATAATTCATTCAGGGGAATTAATCCTTTCTTCGGATTTATAAATGGTGTAACATCAGTTATTCATCTTTTTGCTTATATGTATATTGTGCAAAATATAGCATTGGATATCAAAATATTCAATCTGGTAATATTATATCGCAATATACTTTCAGATATTGTAATACATTGAAGCTAATAAGCTAAAAACACTAAAAATTTAACTTATACAGCTCCACTTTAAATGACATTTGCATAAGGTTGATTAAACTCTTTCATACAATGCCACTTTTAAGACAGGGGGATATCTTTTATAAAAGAGCCTCTCATGTTACATTGGGACATAATATTAAACTATAAACTGTTACGTCAAGGTTCTGTTGGTCTTACCCAAGATAAACAAGCATTTTAAATTGTTCACGATATATCGCAATATATTGCAATATGTCTGTAAATAGTTCATTATACCGTTGTGTGAGTTTATTGTGGTTGCAATGCCCAGACCTAGTAATAAATGTGTCCAGTAATAACGTGCTGGACTGTCGCAGATTCTATCCCACGCTCCTGCAATAACAATACTAATTGTACTAGTATATTACAGTTCTTGGTTTTTGTACTTTACCATTCGGATCACGGTCGTAATCCACTTTGAATTCTTTGAATTTACCAGAGCACAGTAACGTCACTGCATCGTTTCTGGACAGGCTGTCAAGCAGTTTACCATTACTAGTTGCCTTCACTTTTGCAAGGAACTGATAGCTTCTGTACATGCCAGAGCAGAGGTACAGTACTGCGAATGACAGTAGAAAGGATTCCATGACCAGTCACAACGAAAGTGACCTGCACCGTCTTAATACCACAGAAGAACTTACTAGCCGAGGTAGTTTTATCCATTCACGACAGTAAATAAACAAAAAACGTGTATGTGACACTGATTCTTACTTCAGTTAGGTCAGGTATGCATTGCATTTAAAATCAATGATCGTTATTAGCAAATATAGAAGAACTAGCCTTTCAAAGTATCCATTTATTTTTTATCAGTAATATATGCATAAAAAAGGTCATTTTGGTTTTTGTGACCCTAAACCTGCTAGATTTAATTAGTCTTTGTCATCAGTATATAGCCATGTCGGCTTGTACATCTATGCAGTAGTATCTTTATTTATTATAATCCATTAAAGGGACTCCACTGCGGTTTTTTTTAAACGGTACTCTTCGAGACTAAAGTTTCATTTGATGTAAGTCTAGACCAATAGCTTGTGTAGAAAATTTCAGATAATTCACATACTCCATTTTTCTATATAAATTATTTCAATGATGAATCTGACTCAAAACTGAAAAGCGTTGCAACGCTTTTCACTAAAATCTGGCTAAAAGTAGCACAAAAACACGATTTTTACTTTATTTTCGGGTACGTTTCTCGATTATCTTTTGTATATGTTTCTGTCTTATGTGTTGCAGTTGATCTATACTGGTAAAATTTTATGTTTTTAGACTTTTGGACCTCAATAGAGTTCCTTTAATTTTCTAATTGACTGTTCCAACTTCAAAGTTTGACAAAATGATGTCATAAATGCTGCATGTCAATGGTTAATTGCCCTTCTTTATTCATATTCATCGCACTTTAGTTTAAACACATATTTATTTCCATCTTGATTTCGGAGAAAGCTTGTTACTTATAATTATATGGCGCTTGTATTTGAGTCCGGCGATTCCTTTGACTAGAAATAGAGATGATGTCATATGAGGAGACATGGTCGTAACTCTAGTCCGGCTTAAGCGGTACAGAGCCTTAAATTAAGAACAGAATGTTTTTTTTTACTTGGCCACTTTTCGTCCTAACTCTCTAAATAAAATGGATTGTCATAGTCGTATGAAATCGTTCGTTTAATACAGCCACCCACTCTCACTGTTTACCATGCCAAAATATTATTATCACAGAAATGACTGGAAATGTGTCCACGAGACACGGATGCCCACACACACCACTGTTTTGCCGGTCGACGGCTTGACAGCAGGACAAGGTACAGCGGGACTGACGGACAGTGGCAAATCTATGTCATTATGAGCTTTTAATTTACATGTGCATCAAGGACGCAAAGTGTGTCCTGGTACGTATAATTTTGACACAGTCATAGTTATACACAGTACAACATTTCAGTATATAACAACATTGACATTCCCTGTAAGAGTTTTAGAATTAAAATATTGAAGTTTACATCAAAGAATTATAGAAAATGCAGCTAATACAAAATTATATTCAAACATGGTATACATTGTAAAAAATCAAACTTATACTGCGATGATATCAGGGGAAGTAAATCTATAGGCACTAAATTCTATTCGGTTTCAAATTATTTAAGCCATGCAGAGTAATGTCCCTTGTTGATATAGCGTTTCAGTTACCATGAAACCATCACCAAACCTACTAAAATGGCCGCGTAATGTTTGTTCCGAATCATTTACGTTTAATATTCATGTATATCAATTTCAAAGATATTCTACCTCACAAACATTTCAAGAAACGTTCATAAGAATATGAGTAGAACATAATTTTACCGTTTTGTTATTTTTAATCAGATACATGTATAGCTTTATATAAATTAAAAATTGCAAACATGATTTTTATAACGTTTAGAGAATGTTTTTAGAGTATGTTAGATGCCAGTCATCTGAAGAAATTATCACTGAATGGCAGACTGTTTGGACACCCAAAAATAAATGTTTTTGAGAAATAAGAGCACTTCTGGGACATAATGGCCCTTTAAGTTTCTCTTGTCACTGCTATGTGGAGTAAAAGAAAAATATCGTGCTGTGAGTGACTTCTTCTTCTAGTAAAATGCATAATATCTAGTCTATTATAGAAGTCCATTTCATAGATACGTCCGTATTACTTGCTTAAAATCAAAGAAAAAGGCAGAGTTACTGCCCTTAGTAAGTGGTCAGAAAGCATTTTAAATGTATCAGTACGACCCTAGTGTAAATGCAAGCTTTTATATTTTAAAAATTATGTTTATCATATATCGTACAGACACTCGCACAAACGTATGTATATACGTGTCTAACGCGCGTCAAATACAAAAAATGTGAAGGCAGTTACTTCCCTTGACATTTAAAAAGACAGACAAATTAGTTTTTATAGAGTAATGAAATAAAGGAATATATCATTGACGCCGAGTTATGGACTTATGAATTTGGAATAAACAGCCACAAGACAATGCCATCGCTTGAATAAAAACTCCAGAATTGAATTATTTTCATACTATTGTCTATTCAACAGACGTATTAACTTGTCCGCCCTAGGAAAAATGTACTTTAATTTTGTTTAAAACCTTCTCATTTAATATAAAAAAAAATCATGGTCGGAGAAGAGATTGACATCTAGTTTGTCTAGCCAGGTATCTTGTTTAGCAAATTCTTGTTACTTTTACAGCATGCACCATGAGTTAAAACATTTTATTTTCCTTTGGTCGCCGTTTTACTTCGTGTCCACCCAGAGCTTAAGTCCAACATTTTTTTAATGAATGCTTTCATTGTAAGTAACGTTACGTATGTTTTGTTCGTTGCATATGTCAATATTTCGGTAGTCAGTTAAGGTGACAATCGTAACATTTCGGTCCTTTCCGTCTATTTTCTTCGTCAAGACGGCTATATTGCATCTGGAATTGAAGGAACCTTGGTCATTCTTTAAAAAGATGGGGGTGGGGTGGGGTAGGAGGGGTAGAAAGCATAGATATGTATTCAAGTACCACAATTTAAGTATCAGCCAGGGTTGAATGGAAGGAAGTATCATGGAAAAATTCACACAGGCATCATATGTCGATGATCGAGAAAAGAAAGTGTCGAAAAGTTGTGATTGGGTTCAATTTCTAACGTAAGCGTTACGAAGTGGAATAAAAAGAATAAAATTTCACAACAACAATAACAACCACTTTTCCCAATTCAGGGAAAAGCGGGAAATAATGTACACAAGTTTTGTGACCATATGACAATTGGCTAAACCTCTATTTGTTTTAAATAATTTATTTGTGGTTATTTTTGCAATATAAATGTGTTATTATATATTATAGCAATATAAAAAGTAGCGTAAATTAAATAATTCAGCGCCATTTATAACTGTGTTACGAGTCATTGTTCTTGGCACTTGAATTGAAGTGTCCTTTTTCGGTTATATAGCGAATTAAGAAAGATTAAATTAACGCGTGTAATATTTCCCTCGATTTTCGAAATATTGTCCATAACTTTATTACAGTTTATTTGACTAGGGATTGCTATATTAAGTGGGCATAATTATTGTTTTGTTTTCGGCGACTGACAATAAAAGTACAAAAGAAAATACGTGGCCTGCCCACTTTGAAAAATTTGGTAAGTTAAGAGTTAAAAGTGATGTATGCAATATAGCATGTAGATCCTAAATTAATTATTTCCAATGTTGAGATTTAATTCCGGTGCGACTAGACAATCTCCTTGAAGTTGATTTTGTCTTTGATTCAGGATTCTTGCTTGACTCACGGTGCAACACAAACACGCCCACACGGTCCAACACCGCACGCGCTCTTAAATCGAATACGTCCATATTTGAGGGAGGAAAAAAATATATAAAAAAATCAATTCGAATTAGAATCATGGCGATAGTAGGACATTGAACTTTTTAATCTTCATTCGTAAGAGAAGGGATACAAATGATCCTGTCAGTTAAGCATAATTTTGTCATTTTGATGTGAATCTCTCCAAGTCTGGCAGACTTCAATTGTTCATCAGAGGCGCCGGTTATTTGAGCAGCCGACAGTTCGGGGCTGGCCATTGTATTAATTATTAAAGTATCCTGTTTAACAATATTCAAATAATTGAAGTAAATTGTTATATGTAGCGTCGCATATTCACTAATAATTCATTACTAATTGCCCTGGGGACAAAAACCTTCAATTAAGGTAATAGCAATTTTGAATAATCAAGGTGCGTTAATGTATCGTCGAAATGAATGCACTTTAAAACTATCCTTTTTCAAATCGAATAGTTATAAAATGACGTGATTACTTTCAAATAAGTATGTTTTATTGTTTGTGTTAAGAATAATTTTCAAAAGAGAAAGAAACACACAAAGAATGTCGAAAACGTATATTATAGAGGCAACAACGCGCCAAGATGTCTAGCCGCGCATGTGACCGCAATCAACCAATCAGCATGAAGTAGTGGCGACCTGATAAGATCATCCCATTTCTCCTTCGGTGGGTGTATGGTTATACCTCTTTCAAATATCGGAAATAATACTGTTTGTGACAATTGCGAAAAAGCCTCGAATCGGCTGGTATTGAGCTAAATCTATGTTACGAAAACTGTGAAAAACCATTTAGATTAAATTTCAATTAGGAACTTAGTTAATTGGTTTATCCGTGGCTTTGTTTGTAACGCTCGATTTTGCTTGTCACACCTGAGCGGTAGTAACCTCTTCCAAACTTCAGTGTACAAGGTTTTATATCGTGACTAAAAAATTTGGGATGAGATGAATATTGTAAAAGTTTTCAGTGTTTAAAGCTATAATTTCTTAATATTTGTCGATCTGGAGGCAGAAATACATTTGGATTAATAATTTAAACCGGCGCTTTCGTAATTCAAGCGTCTAGTAACGAGTGTGCATTGCTAATTGGAAAATAATTGGATCAAAACAATTATATACCTATACACTCGGTATACATGAAAGGTGAAACAACCTATATAGGTCAATGCATAGACAGAGTGGAGCCTTTATGAATGGGCAAATAAAAACGTGACGTGAGACAGTCAAATACATGATTTTTGTTCATTTCTGAAAGAGAATTGTACGAAAATATTGGATTACACATTTGTGCATGTTTATTACTGTATAAGAAATTCAGCGTGAGCGTTAAAAGATAAACAAGAGTATCTTCAGTAGTAGTAAGGCACGTAAACAAAAACATACACGTTCGATTTGTGTGTATGAATTTTTGATCGTTCAAGTATTTAAAACTTTTTTTAAAATGCTGTTCAAGTTGTTATTGAATTTGTAGCATATATATTTTTGTCGATTTAAAGCGATGACCATACGCATGTTCAGAGGGCTTTCATATGTTATGTTGTATGTTTAGATCGCGAAGAACAGCACACGTGAGACGACTTTGGAAATTACGCGTACACAATGAAACCAGGGGTGAAGAAGAAAGTGCCGAGGAATTGGAACTTAAATCATTCACACACACAATGCTTAAACGTCTTAAAGAAAAACAACTGGACGCGTTAACGCAAAGTGTTGAATCTAAAGGCGGAGAAGTGACCGAATGTGTGTTATTACCTAAGTGTGAAATTCGCCTAGGTAAAAAAGAGTTGTCACCTCTTATACTGTGTTGCCGAATGTGGCGTTGGCCAGATGTTACTAGTCTTACGGAATTAAAACGTTTGCCGTGCTGCACGAGTGCAGGTGGCCCAGCATATGAGTGCTGTAACCCCTATCACTGGAGTTTACTTCTTCAACCAGGTAATGTATATTACGAGTCGACTCTAATATGGTCGACTCTGCGAGAAAAATAAAACATTAACTGTTGTAATACTGATTCTCATATTTTTTCGACTTTTGATGAGGTTACATGTTTGGGCCAAATTTATGCTTGGCACTTATAGGAAACCATTACAAGGTTATATCTATAAAAAAGTGATTGAATTGTAACTTCTATCATGATGCTAGCACTGTATATTTATAAAAAATGAGATGTTAGGTGGTAAGCCTTATTTGGGACAGCCACCAAGGAATCAATGTGATCCCCATCACTTGTTCTTACTGTTCTTGAGTATACTGTATACACAACTGTTCAATTGTATTATTCTCTGGCTTCTATTGGATCTGAAGGATATTCCATCACTGAGCCTACACTATATGACTATAGGATAAAGTTTGGTTCTGTTGCATTTTTTATATTATTACATGTATATTGTTTCTTCAGATTTTAAGAAGGTCTTTCTTTGTGTATGTCATGGTTTAAAAGCTTTCCCATAGAACTGTCACCAGACATCCTGCATTGTAATTGCTTTGTTTAAAACAGGATTTCAGTTGTGTTTTTTTATTGTTGGCAGGACAGAGAGTCATCTTTAAGAAATATTGTAACTTTGGTGTTAAAAGTAACCAGTCAATGATGTCCTCAACCTTATAAGTCTACCATATCCTCTGTAATAAATGCCCCTTATCCTCTTTAATAAATGCCCCTTGCCCATTGTTGACACAGAAAAACAGGGCTTCCACTAGTGGAAGTTTCGGAGTCATTTACTCCTTCATTTTGGCTTGTGACTTCCAAAATCTAATACTTTTCCTTCTTTACATAGATATAATGTGACTTCCAATATCAGAGATCTTCCAAATTTTGAAGCTTAATGGACGCCCTGGAAAAAAGAACTAAAATAAAAAATAGAACAAATTTTAATACAGCTTGCTGTTTCATGGCAGTGAAAAATAACACAAGATCCATGAATATTCTTTCCATTAAATGAACAATACCCTTTTGAAAAAAACAACAAACAAAACGGGCATGCCCTCTTGCGCGTTTATTAGAGAATATACGGTATATCACTATCATCAGGTCAGAGACACAGTGTCTTCATTCAAGTTTGTTTTAAGAACATCCCTATAGTGAAAACAAGGCAAGTGGATGATCTCTATTTCCAAAGCAGCAGACTGAACATTGCAATATAGACACTTGATGAACTACACTGTGTGCATGAAATATTAAACCTGGCATTTCTTTTCTAATTCTTTTAAAAAAAGAATTTTCATAGATATCATAGGGTCATGCAGTGCCTTTGGTAAAAAGTTACACAGCATTTTTGCAAAGGGGGGCAGGGGGAGGGAAACAGCATTTTTGCAAAGGTGGGGACTGGGGAGGGAAACACTTTAGGTAAATTGAATTTAAAGACAAAACTTCATGATTTTTTCTTGGGAGGAAGCTGCCTAAATATAAAACAGCCCTGAAAAAATCCGTTTTCAGTATTTTAGGAACTAATTGAATTTGCTTTGGGATGGATTGCAAACTAGAGAGAGGCATGTTTTGTATTTTGGCCTCTTTTCTATCTTTGTAGGTTCGATGATCTAATATTATATCTAGATAATGAGAGGTACATATATTTATTCTAAGAATCATTAAGAATGATTTATTAAAATAATTATTCTACAAGTGACATTATACATCAGTGATTATAAATCTTTCTCTTAATAGTCTCTACACATACAACTTTATTAATAGAGTGTTCCGACCCTCGGTGCTTGGCCACGCCAAAAAAGATCTCTTTCACTGTTGCTGCTTTCCCAACCCCACTCAGCAGCAACTGTCCTCATCCAGTGCAACTCCATACACATAGACTGTCCTCTTGAAGTTGAACAAATAATTCATTCCTACCTTGGGGTTCAGATTTTCAGTACCATAGGCAAAATCTGCCTCATCTGTGCAGGTCCGAAAGGGCACCATCATGACCATGTCCAGGGATTTTTTTTGGCTTATTTTTTAGCCATTATTGGGTCATATTCCCAATTGAAAATAGTATATTATTTTCCCAATTCACAGGAAAAAATTCCCAATTGAAAATTAAGTTATAAAAATATTGAATAAAAATTCTAAAATCTTTGTAAATAAGGGCTTTTTCACTGTAATAGTACTTCAATGCTTTGAAGATGCCATCCTAGACAGTAATTGTTTGCATCCATTTAATCACTGCAAAATTTCAGTAATGCATTTTTTCCTAGTTTTTAATAAAACACAGCTGAAATTCCCAATTTCATGGGTATGGGTCGTGTTCCCAAAATCCTGGAAAAAATCCCTGATGTCAATAATAGAGTGACCAGGCAGCTGCTGATCACTCCAAATAATTCAATGTTTTTGGTTCTTCAACATACCAAAATATCAATCTGTTATGTATATTGTGTATAGCATACATTAGTATTATATAACTCATACTTGGGGTACCTTGAAAGTTGCTGGCCCGGCACTGCCAAGGGGTAAGTTTAAGACTCGTGGACCCCAGTGTTCTGAGGAATTAGTATGTTTCCTTTAATCAAATTTTATTCCCTCGTACAGTCTAAGAAGTCATATTAAACTAATAATAAAAAAATGTTCATACATGCAGAACGTGTTGGATGTTTTTCTCTTGGCCCTAGGTAAACTAACATAAAAATGAAATTCAACAGACATTGTACAGACGCATTAGTTACAGAAAGTAACACAGATCCAATAAAAGTTTGTTTTTTCTTTGATTTTCACACCAGAAATTTTCATCGTGCTCTAGTTTCAGATAAATGTGTCAGTATTTCAGTGGTAAATTATTACTGATTTTGCCGGTTATCATCTCTCCAAGTGAATTTATTGGGACTTCACTTGTCTTACTTCTATTAATGAAGTTTTAATATTTCAGCTTGTAATATTTGAAATTGTAACTTATAGCATTATTTATGGCTTACCACTACTTGAGGTACAACATTGAAATGTTTTTTTTTAAGGGTTTTGGGACAGCATTTTGAGGAGTGCAGCAAAACTTAAGATTCGTTTTTAATTTAAAAAGAAAAATTTTTGTTTTCATCAAATGGCGAAACTTAAGGGGTTAGAAAGTATTTGTAAAGAATATGTTTTTATTCTAGTTAAAGTGAATTGATCTATAAATTAATAGATAAGTTTTGATTGTTTTCATTAATATTTGAAATACTTATGAAAAGTATGTCCATTATGTCAACCAATCCACTTTAACTTGCTGTAACTGAAAGTTGATATTGGATAATTTACTTGTAAGAAACAAGGCAGGGTAAGGGATGGAGTCATGGACTCGGGCCTGTTGTTGTCTACAGCCCTCTGAAAACATTAATTCCGTTTCAGGCCAGACTTAAATAATGTTACATTATCAAATCATTAATTTGTAATATTAAAATCCCTTGAAACTATATAATATTGAATGGTTATACAAATTTAGTGCCATTTGACAAGTGTAAAAGTTTATCAATTATTGCTTCTAAATACCCCCATTCAGGGATATTTTAACCCCCCAAAAGACATGTATTTACATACATGTAAATGATCAGAACCGTAAAAGGTTTATACAGAATAAAGTTAAAAAATTTACAGAGAGGGTAAAATTTTTCAAGAAAAACAGTTTTTTTTAGCCTTATTTAGAATAGTTGCTAGTGGTACAGTACACAGTGCACTGTCGAGAAATATTGTAAAATTGATCAAATGTTTTATGTTTATACAAATCTTTATCAAAACCCTATTCTCGTTATTCCTCGATTTATTCATTAAGCTCGCATAGATAGGATAAGAAATGCACTGAATTTCCTCCCTTGTTAACTTAATTAACGTTGAAATATCATCGATAAAATATTATTGTTTTTCAAGTGCTCTAGTATAAATTCTTTATACATTCATTTCTAGATTTTTTTTACGATATGTAGAAATATTAGCCTGTAGAATGTACGTTATGTAGTTCTTCTGTAAATATTTCGCTACTTTTATTTTTAGTGTACGGTTTCTGCAAAATACAGAACTGAAAGATTCGTTAAGTGTTTCACAGTGTGAAAAAATTCCTTGAGAATTATTTTACATGTTGAATTCTACAGGGAGGAAAAAAAAATAGTTAAGCAAGATAAATTGTTATGTTATACAAAGAATTTGTAGACCTATACAATAATTAGTCCGACTTACATCCCCCAAATACCTTAAAACTTTGGATGGCGCCTCTCTCATAATACTTGTCTAGATGTATAACCAGTCCGAGATACTACCTGTAATAGTGGTGTATAGTGTACCAGTCTATTTGACGTCTGCTGACTGGTTTATACATAATTCTCATCGTTGTGCGAACATACCTTTTAGGACTTTGTTTACTGAAGAGTACACCTTTAAGGACTTTACCTACTGAAGATTTAATTAGCTACTTAATTACTAAATTTTGATTTTTTTACCCCTCTCTCCATTTTATGCAAAGTATATAAGCTACAAAAAAAATAACATAATTTAAGATAAAATGTTTAAGATTTTTTTTTTTGCTCGTTGGAAGAAAGTGTGTATATAATTATTTTAAAGGACTTGAGAATTAATTACATACAAAGAGATGAAGTTACATGAAGATGTACTATGAAATAACATAGATTAAATGCTCTTTAAACTTTAAGCAGGGTTTTATGTTCTTCTACATTTGAAGAATAGGATCTGGTTTATTAAGTATAGGTAACTGAGTGGCCATGGTGGCAGGCTGTACTTGCCACTCAGGAATGGCTAAGGTGGCTAGACAGTGTACTTGGCACTCACTGTTGACAATGGTTTGAATCCCACCATCTTGAATGTCACCATAATTATGGCATTTTGTCTATGTTTGTGAGGTTTAAACCCCAAACCCAGAAAATGTTATTCAGGGAGGTCGGCATCTTGTAATTTAATTTAGCCTTTGGCATGAAGATTGAGTTTTTAATACTGGACAATGTGGTACATAAAATATGCTGTTTATATAAGATAGGAGAATATTTGTTGACTTAAAATGGTTTTCTCTGCCGGCCTTGACCCCTCTGCCAAACAGTGATGAGAGGAAGTTGTTGTGAACTGACTCATGAATAAGAATGAATGAAATGCTCACCTTTAACCTTGCTAATTTGAATACAGACTGTGGTTTAAATTACAAACTGCTCACCTTTAACATACCAAATAATTTAATTTTAATATTAATTGATATGTGAATTAATTAGTAACATTGTGGTGAAAACATATAATAATTTTATATACATTCAGTTATGTTTCTGCTTTGTCCAAGTTACAGATCATAATTATACATATATTCATATGTAAATACCTGCAGCCAGGGCCATGTAATGACTAATAGTCTGTACCTTAGTTAAGTTGTCAACAGTTTTAAGTACCATCATGATTAAGCAGAATTTAAGATAATGTATCCATATCTTTACTTATTGTATCTGCAACAAATAGTGATTAAATTTTAGCCTTTGCCACCAGTATACATGTAGAGTACAGTTGATTTATTTAAGGCTTTTATTTTAATATACGTACTTATATTGATAATGGTTTAAGTTATTTCCAAAAATGGAAGCTGGAAAAAAGCCCTTTGGAGCAAGTCGGCAGGTTATGGATTTATAAGGTCATTAATGACCTCCAGTGTAAATTATGTGTATGTGAGGAAGTTGAAAGTTACTTGTGGAGAATATTGTATAGACAGCAAGCATGCAGTTGTCAGGTGATCTTGATTTGTTGGAAAGTCAATAATGAATACGCTTGTGTGAATAATTGATAGAGAAAATAATTTATGATGAAAATCTATTTTGCTTTACTTAAACACAATCTATTTTATATATCGATCATAAATTTATGCAAGTTATTTCTAAGTTAAATTGTAAAAGAATAAACATCAGAAAAACACACAAAAAATGTATCCAAAGGCAGAAATCTAGCCCAAAGTTCTTTTCTTTCTGAAATTAACGTCAAGAAAAAAACAAATAATCTATAATAATCATTGTGAATTTTGTCCAATTAAAACAATTTTGTTGGCTGCCCGAAGAATAATTTCTTTGAGTCCTGTGAAATATAAACGTTGGTAGAAAAAAAAAATATCGTAATAGTCTCTAAACCCCATTATAGTCTCCAAACCCCGGTAGACATTACATTGGCTCTTACATTCTCGTTTTAAAATGTTTATCAGTGCTCCGATCAAAAACCCATTCATATAGGGAGACTCCTTGACTATATGTTTAAGATTGCATTCTTTTTCCGATTATGTTTTACAAAAAAAATAGGACAGGTTTTTTTGGCGAATACAGAGCTTTTTTTGTTGAAGGGGTTTAGTGTACTAGAATTTTCTTGCGATCTTTTCTCAGGGGCTTCAATGCATGTATTTTAGGGTCCTTTCATAACTGTTGTAATATTTTTAGTTAATGATAAACGTTGTGGTTGCGAAATATTTTTAATTCAGCCGTTAAGGTTTTTGTTTGATTTTCTTTTGCGGTTTAACTCTTAGATTAAACATCGGATTATGAAAAATGAATAAAATAACAAGATGTATTTATAAACTTATTGAAATTGAATAAAATGACATTTTTTGTATTTCATGACGGTCATTTGTTAGGACTATGGCTTTTTAATCAGTACTGGGTGAAAGAGTTCATTTTCAAATTAAATTTATGATGGTAAATTTGTTTAGTAAGTTATCATAATTATTGAATGAATATTTAGGAAGAAAATCCCCATGAAAGAGCCATGCAGTTGCAAGTATTAAGATTAAAGGCTAATTAATTTTGTTTTAAAAAAATCTGGGTCACTGATACTTTGTATATTTTGGGAAGAACTAATCCAACTTGTGATATTTTCTTTTGATTTTTAGATACAGTTTGTCTATTTCAAGACAGACAGATAGATTTTTGTGTACCCATTATCCTAGTTTGTGAGAGCATTTTAAATACATTTAATTAATTCACCAGGAGCTTGTTTAAATGATTGCCAGACATACAATTATTTAATTGAAGTTTTGACCTCAATTAATCAAGCACCTGTTATGAAGGTGATCTATTCTTACAAAAAGCTTCTGTATAATGTCTGGGTATTTAAAATGTAATGTACTTGTATCATCAGTAATTTAATCATTATATCCCCCCCCCCGGGATAATCCCCCCACCCCGAGTCAAATAATTACATTGTATTCACATGTACTCACCCATAAGTCTTGTGTATGTGTACCAGACTTAGTTATTGTAATTAAATCATACATGTATTAAATGAAATGTACTCCTACAAGGTACTTCAGATAAAGTTTTAATAAAAACATAATTATTATTTATATATAGTGTTAAAGGTAGAAGTTAATTTTTTGGGAGCCCCAGCTCTTTGATCAGATACTCCAGATAAGTGGTTATCCACAGGTTTCCAAGCTTATTGCTTTGGGTTTGAACTACAATATATGAATATGGTTCCATATTTCTAGTACCTGTTATACATACCTACACTGTATTGTTAGTTGTACATGTACCTTAGTTCTTATGAACATATCTTTGTTCTTATGAACATTATCTTTGATTTTGATTACCTTACCATTGATCTTACGAACTTATCATGGTTTTAAGATGAACATACATTATATCTTGGTACTGATGAACATATCTTGGTTCTTGTGAACACATCTTGGTTCTTAGGAACATATCTTGGTTCTTATGAACATATTTTAATTCTAATGAACATACCTTGAGTCTTACAAATATATCTTTGTTCTTATGAACATACTATTGAACCAATAAACATAATCATGGGTCTTACTTGACCATAAATTGGTTTTAAGATGAATATATCTTTGCTTTAATGAACATACATGTATACCATAACTCCAGGGTTTTAAGATGAATATGTCTTTGTTCTAATCAAATCGCCTTGGTTCTTACAAACATATCTTAGTTTTTATGAACATAAAATTGATTCTAATGAACATTATAACCTTGTATCTTTATAATGAACATATCTTCTAAGTCTTATTAGCACATCTTGGTTTTTATCTCGTCTTTCATGTTAACATATCTTGTAGAGGTCTTTTATTTCTGTTTTTGCATATCACATTAAACAATAATAACTATATAGAGAGTGTTAAAGTGTATTTTACAAATTATTTTAATTTAAAAGGATTTTGTTCTTTTTTCAGATGTTTCTGTGTCAACTTCTGGTTGGGAAGAAATGGAAAAGGCCAAGTATACAGGTATGACAGTTTTTCTCCAATAAATTCGGAACATGGGCCCATACTCTTGTCTTAATGAGATTGGGCATATTTGTAATTTTATACCTTTAATAACACTATATACCTGTCCTTCAAAAACTGTGATGTGCTCATTATTCATGAAATATCAAAGTTGACCTAAAACTGTCGAAAAATATTTCATTACCCAAACGGTCATGGTGGTGAAGAAGTTGTGATCAAATTGTGTAAACATTCTGACTTTGGAGAGATATCCTCTCAATGCGCTTAAGCCTGTTAAGAGAAAGGTGCCAGTCAATCTAGGTCAAAGGTCATTCAAGGTCAGAAATTCTTGTTTTTAGGTCACTGAGTCACTCAAAAGTCTTAATTCTTTGAATAACCAAGTTCATTTGTACATTTCAATGATTAATCACAATGTTAACCTTAAAAAATATACCAGGAATAAAGTCTGCAAATGCATTGCCAAATTCAAATGAAAATATATAAATAGAGACCCAGTATATTAGGAGGGAAAATACTCAATAAAAACACTCTAAGAAACTGATGCAAAAATTAAAATTCAATGGAAATTTCGGAGACAACTGGCTTTCTATGTTTTCCCCGAAATTAAATTAATTTCATAGAAATGCATTATATTTATACAGTTTGTCTGTATTTTCATTTAATTTTAACTTTATTATACTAGACACAGAATGAACAAAAAAGTAACAACAACATTTTTCAATATTCTGGGAATATTTCCCTCATTTTTTCTTTATTTAAAAAAAAAACAACAACAAAAAAATAGAGCAAAGCTTAACAGAAAAAAAAGCAGAATAGATTTGTATTTGAATCAATTTCTTTAAAACCATAAAATGGAAAAGGTTTTTCAAATTGTTAACATGTTCTGCTTAAGGAATGAATTTTTCAATATCTCCCCAAGGTCACGAGTAAATATAACCTCTCGCGTAAGATTAAATTTTAAGGACTCTAAAAGGCTATCTTCTTGTTTGCCCAACGCTTGTGATAAATGGTTCACGATGGTTAGAGATAACAATTTTCACAATTATTTATCAATTTGTAAGAAAATGAAAATTTAAACGTGGCTTTTTTTTTCCTGGTCTTCTTTTCTGTATATGCCAGTTGGAAATAGATTTTAGCTTAATTACTATGCAGTAGTGGAAATCACAAGACATAGAAGAAGATATTTGCATTTGTTTAGCATTTTATCTTCGATTTTTATGAACGGCTGCGGTGTTTTTTGTCTGCGATGCTAGAATTGAGGTTCATGTTTTAGATGCTAAATAGATGCTTATGATGCACCAAATAGTGTTTTTTCTTGTTCCCGTTATGTAGATGTGAATTGTGACCCGACAAGTTTATGGTATTAGGTCAATTTAAATCTGCCAGGGCATAGATACCTCAAGTCTTGGTAAATTTTGGCAAATAAATAATAAAGTAACATTAATTGACCAGTATCAAGGTGTTGTGACTTTAGATCAAAATAAGGCGATTTTTGATCTTAAATCAACTGTATCATGAAGTTAATGTACAATATTTATATTATGTGTTTTCAGATGACCTTGACCGACCTCCGGATGAAGCTGTTTCCATGGAAACAGGAATGACGCCCACACCTCGACGCAATGAATTCTCAGGTTAGTTATAGCCTTTCCTTATAATTCAAGTATGTTTGAGTCCGGCCATGTACATTTGTACGTTGAATTTGGAAGTCAACAAGTGTGTTTCTTTTGTGTACTTTTTGTGAGTTAAATGACGTCACCTTAGTACTGTAACAGGTTAACTCCTATTTAAATTCAATAGTAATTTTTACTGTTACTGCACTTAGGTGATGAAATGTTAGTCCTTGTGTATGAAAAATAGGTGATGAAATGTTACTCTTTGTGCATGAAAAAATTAGATTTTGCATGATTACATTGACCGTTTTGTTGATTGCTGATATAATTATTTAAAAAAAGAGGAAAAACAATAATAAACTGTCAATTTGCTATACATTCAGACGTAGTAATGATGAAACTGGTGTATGACCTTAATTAGACATAAAAGACATTTTTTTCCTTTCTTGCACTGTTTAACCTTTGTTGAAGTATCACTTGACAGTTATATTGACCTTTTTTTTCTTTCCTTTAATAACCTTTAAAGATGTAATGCTATGTACAGTTTTCAAATAGACATTGTAGGCAGAATGAAAATTCTCCAAGAGTTTATTTTTTAAACTTTATAAACAATGATTTTAATAAATAATTAATGAATAATAACAGAAGCAAAAAATAAAATTAGATTAAAGGGCAGATAACTCTTAAACAAGAATGTCAACCGTGATTTTTGTTTCCAGTAAAATGTATCTGCTATCATATATGGTGCTGTAAGATCTACCCGGTGTATAAATTACATATAATTATGAAGTCATACACAGTTTATATCCTGAAATCTGAAGCAAACATCCTTAAAGAAGCGCCAGTCATTTGGTTCTGTCCGATTTTATAAGGGTTTTGATATTTGTATTTATGGTTTAGACAAAATCCACTTAATGTTTAGAAAAGAAAATATGCCAAAAAAAAAGAGGGAAAAAAAAGAGAGAAGAAAACATTATTTAAAATGTCTGGAAAACAAGTGTTATGTCAGAGGAAAACTTCTTAAAAAAATGAGTGTAGACCCCCTAAATTCATGTTTAATGTAACAATGTTAACTTGTGTATACACTAATTTACTTTGTTTAAGTCTTTTAGGATAGGTTTATAAAGTATAAACAGACCAGGCGTCCCATCATGGGGGTCGGCCCACAATTTACAATCTCAAGTATCTTGTTGATGCGTTGTTTTGGAAAAGTCTCGTTTCTGATAAATTGCATAGGAAGAAAAGCTTTCAGAGATTTCTGTCTGCACAGGCTTATGTCTATATGAATAGTACTGTTTGTGTAACTTTAGCACAGGGATTAAAAGAATTACTTCCCTTTATAAAAGCTGATATTAGGCACTTATTGGTTTGGAATGGATTGTCTCCCTTGATAATAAGAGTGTAATGAATAATATTGATAAAATTGTTAGACATCGATAGAAATAAAGTAATTTTACAAGAATCTTTTTTTCCTATTCTTCTAGTTTACACAAATGTGATTATTTAACTTGATGAAATATTACAAATTGTACAAAGAGTTACTTTTTTTTATGATAAAAGTTTGTATTAACATCTTTAAAATCAAAGCTTGAGTTTAATTGATGGATTAATTGTTTCCAAAATATGTTGGGGGGGGGGAAACATATTCATCCCATTTGGAATAGGTCATGATACATAAAGAAATGAAATAGTTGTCCCCCTTTAATTGCATGGTTTAACACAGCAAAGGATTATCTCCCTGTATCAGATTTTATTTTTGTTTGTTTGCAATAGAATGATAGTAGAACTTGACAAAGAATATAATGTATTTAACTGGCTTGTGGCCTCCTGGGCAGAATGGTAAATGTTGCAAATTTCAAATAACATGCTCTTCTCTTTAATGGTTCGAATCTTATCAGGGACTGTGGATTGTTCCAATTGTGATGGAGTTCAGTCAGATGTTTGACTCAGGCACCTGAACTTGTGTCTGAAATAATGCAAGAAAGATGTCTATCTTGGCCAGTTAAGTTGGACAGTTGCTACAAGACCTTTATAGAACTGGTGTGATTTTAAATTACAACAACAACAACCTTTAACTCGTTACTTTAAGTTCAGCTATAGTAAATTCTGTCTTGTCTTTATGATAAATGAGCTGCCCCTTAATCAGTTTATCAGAGGACATGGTGAAAACATAAGTAAATTTTAATGTATTCATATCTTTTAGAAATGTAGCAAAAAAAAATGTAAATTTATTAATTAGCATGCATTCTTGTGTATCATGTTACACATTGAATACAATAAGTTCAAAGGAATAGCGACTGTCAAATTTGTGTCAAAACGGTCATCAGTTTTGACCCCTTAAGGGACTTGTTGAATTGGATATCACTTTGTAATGCTATCTAGTTGTGTTAGACTGTCCCCTTGGGACATTAGGAATTCCGTTTGATCACATGACAGGTTGACAGGTCAGTTCAGTTGAAAAATCTGAAGAGATGTAACTGATATTAATATCATACCCATGTTTTTTCCCCTTTCAAATGATATAGATTCTATCTTTAAAGGGTCAACTGAGTATTCATTTTAACCCTTACCAATTTGAGAGTGTTGATTGTTAAATTTAGGGATTCTATTCTTAAACTGCTATTTTCAAGTGAGATTTTAGCCATCTAAAAAGTGTGGAATCAGGCTAGACTAACCAGTTTGGTAGGCTTAGTGGCAAACTTTAACAATTACTGTTGCTCATGTCTTAATTAGGTCAAGTTAAATTAAAATTCCTCAGCTTTTAGTTATCATTTAGGTCCTGTGTTGTCATGGGTTACCAATTGCCTTTGAACAACATTGAACATCCATATTTCAACTGTTAAGGTCAGGTGATCTTTTATTGAAGGTAGAATTTGGCCTTGAAAGCTGATATTTGATAAGGTGGTCCCTCAAAACAGGCTTTTAGCATATTTAATTATTGTTTGTTACTTCATGGTGAAACACTAATTAGAATAAAGATTTTTTACACCATATTTTATTTATGTTTAATACTATTATTTGACGATCTATTTGTTTCTAATCAATGCCATGTTTAAAACGTAGAAATAATAAAGTTTAAAGCAAATTTTTTTTTCAAAGTTCATTCGCATAAAATGCCCTGATATTTTTTATCGCAGTGACCTGGAGTCTCTATTCAGTTATTACAACAAATTAAAATAACTAAAATAAATCTTCAGTGAAATTCAATACGGCTAAATATTTTTTTAGTAGATCCCCCAAAGTCAAGTGTTGATTTTGCACAAGTAGTATTAATATGTCATTTTTGGAATCGATTAAGTTAAAGATTGACATTGCGGAGTAATGCAAATCTTTGGGGTAATTGAAAATCCTTTGGTGCAATTCAAATGTTTCGTTAGAGAAGCCGGTAAATAGATTGTTTAATAGTTGTGTAATATTTAAACATACAATTTGACGGGCTAAAATTGAATAAATTGTTGATTCTGTATGCATGTCTATGGTGTATTTTTATGTGTTTTAAAAAATAAATCGAAGTTACAATACATGGAGAATGACCCTGAAAAAAAGAAGACATTCATTAGTAATTTTACAATGTTTATTAAAAAACATGAAAAAGAAATAAAAAGTAGTGCCACTTGTATAAATGTATACAAATATAAATGTTCTAATTTATGATTTATTTTTTTTCTTCTGCTTAAATCATTCACATTCCATATATATTGTATTCAACTAAAGTTTCAGCCAGAAAAGAAAATAATACTTTCACATAAAGTTTACAAACTAAATTTAGACTTACAATGCTAGCTGTTGAAAGATCAACTGGAATTTAGGTCAGAAGAGGGGGGGATACTTTACTGAAATACCATGAAAGAAATGTGAACATTTTTAGTTGTTGAGTGCGAAGTTAGTCTGAGCACTGCTAAATGTCATGAGTGTTCATCCATCCAAAAAAAATAGTCCCCTGAGTCTAACCCCTCCATCATCAGTGAGGTTACACTGGTAATTAAATTATCATTTGATTTCAATAGTAATGATCATAGACTGACCTTTGTCATCATCATCATCATCATCATTAAAATCATCATCATCATCGTCGTCATCGTCATCGTCGTCGTCATCATCAACAACAACAACAACGAAAACAACACCGACTTAATAATCATGATCGGCAGTAGAAGCAGCATTATCATCATCATTATCATCATTATCATCATCATTATCATCATCACCACAATAAAAATATTATTAATAATAATAGTTGTTGTGGTCGTTGTCGTTCATCATCACCATAATATCATCATCATCACAATCATCATCATCATCATCTTTTTTAAGATCAGCAACATCAACAATATCAATTTTAAAACAACAACATAACAGCAACAATATCAAAAACAACATAGACTGTATGACATTATTTTAATCTTCATTATTAAATCATAATGACCAACAGCAGCAGCAACACCACCACCGAAAACAACATCAAAAACAACAACAATAACAATATTATCATCGTCATCATCATCTATATCATCTTCATCATCAACATATTGAAATCATCAAGCCCAACATCATCATCTTTGCTGAGTGATATCAGTGACAAATTAACAAAAAAAAACCATTTACAATAAACAACAATGTTCCTATCATATTATCAACAACACCTACACTGATAATTAAGTGATCTATAAAAAGTGGAGAAATTGGATGCACATAAGTGATCAGAGTAAAATTAGAATACCAGATTACTCTGGGATATTTGCCTGCTTGGCTGTGATAGGACTTAAATTATATGAAACTAGTAAAATTGCAGCAAAGAAAACAAACACCTATAATAATAGCAACATATTTAACAAGAACAACATTTTGATAAATGCTAGGCTTATATTTCACAGAGAGTGTTTATTCATTGTTAAACAGTTTCAAGTAAACCCATTAGTACACATTATAACACCCTTTCTCTACAACCTGCTGATAGGCGCAGCCTAATGCTGATAAGCACAGCCTAATGGTAAATTTTTTTTTGTCTTTTGATACTCTTA